TAGGGTCGGAACTCGAAGTGAGGCCCATCGAGGAGGTTGCCAATGGAAAACAAGTAGCTCCAGTACTCCAGCTGGGTTGGGCAAGTCTTCAGCTGGTGTGCTTCCTGGTACTCATTCAGCTTCTGCTACCACAACAGCAGTACAGAATACAAAAGCATTGCTTCTTGCCCATACTTTACCACAAAAACAAAGAAAATGAAGCGGATGCTGCTGTGCGCATCCTCCAGTTGATGGTACCCAGGCACAGCTTCATCACACTTTGGCGAATGCATTAAATAGTGTGAAATTATGTGGCCGAAACTGAAATCTATTGTTGCTCCAGCCATGCATCCGATCACCACAGGTGTGGCTGTTCAAATTGGCAAGTTAAGCCCACAAGTTTGAGTGATGAGTTCATGTGCAGACTGGAGCGCTGGTGGCAGCGCCGACCTCCATGCTGACTGCCAGAGAATGTGAAGTTGACACAGCACCAAAACATAGAGTTTGCACTGCTCTGTTGGAATGGTGCAACAACGAATCACTTGTAAAGCGAAATGGACTGACCCTGAACTGGTGTTGCACCACACCTGGCTGGATGTGCCATCCTGGCGACAGACAGCGATGGATATATTCTTGAGCATCACTATCATCATCGCACCTAGTGTACAGCACAACGACCACATATGTCAGAACTCGACAGCAGGCAGCATAATCCAGGTAAGAACACAAGTGCATTTTCATTGGGAGCACCAGTGCCATGGGAGGGTAGAACGTCGCTCTTGGCTTTTTTGATGCAGCCAGCACAGAAGGCAGAACACAGTCGGAATTCAATCGTGCCACAGGCTGGAATCAGGGCGTGCAGCAATCGCTTGTGTGAATAGGCCACAGGTGTGGCACCTCAGCAGATAAGAAGGCACCTCAGACCAGAAGAAGGGGCACATTCACTAAATGTTGTGTTCAAGGCTGTACCTGTGATATCCATGTCCCCTGCCTGCCAGGATTCTCCGCTTGCATTCATGACATGCCTGGCAGGCAGCACAGCCACCATCACAGTAAATCGCAAAAATGTCCACAACAGCCCACATCAGGGCACATCCTGGCCCATCCATAACCGCCGATTTTTAGTGCTGCAGAATGCAGGATTCTTGTAGAATACATTCACAAGCTATGTCCATTTCAATGCTGTTTTGCGAATAAGGCAAAGGCACTGGTTGTTTAACTCTCCCTTGTGTTCATTGCCCTTCCTCAATTAACAATTTCAGTGAATTGCATCATCGTCATGATGCGTTTAGTCTGATTTTGGTTGGCATGGGTGTCAGTCACTTGAGCAGTAGCTGCACGAAGGATTTTCGCTTTTTAGAGCCGTTCTTAGCTGCTCAACAGAGCTCCTGAACTACAAATTCGACCAAGCTGCTCTTGCCAACTGCGTATGTTGCACATGCTATGTCACAGCTCAGGCACAAACACAAGCTCATTTGAACATTAAATGCATTGCAACATTCTGCTGTGAACACATCATGACGTCCTGCATTCCAACCATCTGTTATGTTGTTCTTCAACGATGAATGCCAGCATAAAAAAATCTGCTGTTGAATCTTTTGTATGGTGAATGGCAAACACCGCTCAAAAAAACTGAAGGCAAAGTACCTTGAACAATATCGCAATGGTAAATCACCAATTCAAACTGTGCAATTTCCGGCACTGAGTTCAGGATGCAAGCTCCCTGCTTGCCACCGGTCTTGCAAAATTTCCGGAATCTCCAGAGCGCCTGACATCGTATTGCAACTGCAAGAGCATCGCTCTGTCAATTGTAGCAAGTCCAACCAGAACACAACATGCACCAGGAGCAGAGGCACGCACTGCCCTTGCCTATGAGGCGCAAGGCCTGCATTGGTCTTGTGCCATTGACGTGACAGTCAACTGAGGCAAGCAATGGAATTCCCAGCACACACACAGTATACTCACAGTGCGATGACATAGGGGAAATTGATCCACCAACCCCAGAATCCACAGCTTTGGGGAGCGACCCTCATCGTTGCATATGTGAGGAGTGACACAGCCACAACATGCAGCACCTCCCAGCCAAAGGGATAGAAAATGAGAAAGAAGCCTGTCAACAGGGAGTACCAGTGGCGACCTGTACCAAACAAACAGCAGCTGGTGTTGGAGGAGCTCACTGCTGAGAGGGTTTAGGCAAGACAAAGTGCTTGGCTGTCTGCCATTTGTGCTGGCAAAGTGGCAGCTACATGTGTACTCCAATGGAACTGACATTGAGCTAGAACAACCTAGTTGCTTGTAGATTGTAGGAAATGTTGTGTGAAATACGCTGCACATGAGCAGCGTTGGCTGTTGAGGGTGAGCATTGTGCAGGACGCCCACTGAGTTCGCATGCTGTTTTATCTGTTGACAAAGAACTTGTTGTGTGCATGGCCATTTTGCCTGTCTACAGAAACAAACCATGGCATGACTCCAATGCTTTACCAAATCGGAAGCTGACGACCAAGCGCCCCAAATTTCTGCACTATGAGACATGCGCTGTGAAATCCAATGCTGAAAGCAGCAGTGAAGTCTTGGAGGGCAGTTGGGCATTTGAGGATACCAAAGCACCCCACGCCATCACCGCACCCATTGCCAGGTTTGCCATTAGCATTTCATTCTTATGCATTGCAGGTACATATCAGCCGCGGGACAGTATCTATGTTGCGGCGCGTGCTCATCATGATCCGCAATCCTCAAGGCAATATCCGAATGCTGGGATTGAGCCTCAGTCACGTCAAAAACTGGGAAATTCCGCTGTTGTTGCTTTGTGGCTATTGGACTTCACAGTGTATGGCTCACAAATTGCCATACACATAGCTGCATAGGAATGTCTTTCACAGCGGTAAAGCCAACCAATGAACTGCCTTCAGCGAAGGCCACGTCGCACTGCATGACCGCGATTCGAGCGCAGTGGCGATGCGGATGCCCAGGACGGCAGCCTGCCTTGCCGACGTCTGCGCCAGGCAAGCAAAAACCTGCCCAATCCGCGCATCCAACCACTCCGCAATCTTTTCGCGCCACCCGGTGCCCACCTCAAGGCTACTGAGGCCCAGGGCCGAACCACAACAACTGCGTCTCTGACGCACTCTCCTCAAACCGTCATCAGCCGTCACCAAAATTCAAGGACTTCCAAAAACGATCGAGAAGGATCGGGGCGCGGGATGGCCGACATCCCCAAACTGCGCCGATCTTCAATACAGCCACACGCGGTTGTCACACGCGGTTGTCATACGCACCCGTGGTCGAGGGCACGCGCCCGAGCGCCCACCCCACAGGTATGGCCGCGAATGCCGCCAGCGCGAAGCGCAGCATGGACACGGACACGGACAGGGCGCCCGAAATGGACCGCTCCCAATCCATCGGCGCCACAGCCGCGGCGCCATCCCAAGGCGCAGAGAGCATGTCGGGCCTGCTCGACGGTGGGCCGCGCGGTGATCCACACAGGTTGGGGCGCAGGGCGCAGGGCTCAGGGTTGGCGACCCGATAGCGCGTGGCGGCTCCGCAGGGGACAGCTTTGCCAGAGAGAGTGGGCGGTGCACTGGCGGCTCCTGTTCAACTCCACCTCTGGATGGCCCCCGAGGTCCAGCCGGACACTTTCTGGGTTTGGAGTGACTGGTGGGACCAGGTTGTTTTTTTGTCCCAGCTGACACCTATGTCCGAATTAGGTCACCGGCTCGAAACGCCAGAAAAGACCCCTAAAAAATTAATTCAAAAAAATTAAATCACCGACTCGAAACGCCAGAAAATACCCCAATTCGGACAATTTGTCCGGCAGAAAAATAGCCGCTCCCTCTTGCCGCCAAACTCCCCGCCAAACCCAAGGGCCAGCTGGACCGGTCCCCATGGCAGCGCCCAAGGTACAAGGTTCAACCTCACCGCCCTTGGATACGTCGGGCAGCACTGACCCCGAGTACAGGGGTGACAGAAACCGGCTTATGGATGGCCCAAACTGTCCCAAAAAAGGCGGAACGGCCCGACCTGGCCGTTGCGCGCCCTCCCAATCGTCGTCCTTCGCAGAAACCCATTAACAGGATAGTTAATTCCATGTCCAGCAAGGTTTGTTTTCCATGCAATCGGTAGCCTGGGAAGTTCGGGAGGGCAGAAATATCCTGTCTGGGCAAACCGATTAGCGGGTGTGTGCCAATTGAGCTCTGCGAGTTTTGTTGTTTCCCCTAAGATTAGGTAGAGGTTGAGCACTGCATTTGATCCGTGTCTAGTAGGGGTTGTGTTCCATGCAATTGGCAGTTTTGACAGTTTTGGGGCATGCAAAGCTGGTTGCTTCGAGCGCTGCTAATGAACAGCCGCCTGCGCTGATGCAACCACTCCCGAAGTCGAGAAGATCGGCCCCCCGCACTTTGTTGAGGCAACCAAATCGGCGCCCGTCCCGAATATGGCCGTTGCACTGTCAGTCAGAAGGCCATCGCCGGCCCATCGTGGCGGCCGCGTCCAGCAAGTTTTGGCCCAGAGCACCCCAATTCGGACAAAATGTGCAAGAAAATTTTGCAAAAGCACTTTCAATTTGGACAATGTCCGGTGAGGCCAGAAAAAAAAAGGTGGGACAGCCCAACGGCGGCCGCCACTAAGACACACTTTCGGCACCGGTACAGCCTTTTCTGCCTCGCAGCTTTCTCTGCACTTTTTCTGGCCTTTCGACATTAGCTCTTGGTGCTTTAGGCCCTCGTCCGTGTGTGCCGACTTGGCACGGCGGCCGGTGGGCCGTCTTGCACCTCTTCCCCAGTTGCGCGCGTGCAACCACATCTTCTTGAACCTTTGTGTCGCCCTGTTCATCCTCTGGGCCGTGAATCTGCGGCCCGAGGACCCGAGGGTTAAGGGCAATCAGAGGCCTTCGCCATAGAGTCGTTGGTCGGATAAGCCCAATGTGCCACCCAAGTTCTGGATGTGCGGTATTGTGGTCCTGTGGGAAGTAGAGGGACAGCAACAGCCGCTGCGCACAACCTGCTCACTCCTTTGGGCGTTGGATTCAATATCTACAATCATTTTAGCTTAGAAAGGGTGACCAGAAGCATGCCAAGGCACTGTGCTCGTTCCCTTATGCATTGCTCATACAATGTTCTGCATATTTCCAAAGCCAATGTGCTTTTGATTCTCCGTCCTAAGGTCGTCACCTGAGAATGTCTTTGGCAAACTGGTGCTGGACAAGTTATAAAGAGTCTTCAGACGTGTGGACCCCGTTATACAGTTTGACGCTAATCTGAACAAACACACTAACAGAGCCCATGAGTGTGTGTGGCACATGAGGTCCTGTCTGCAACTGTAGATACCCAATCCTGCCTTAACACATGCATCGCTACTCTCCACCCAACCCTCCCACTAAGGGCACCACAGAACAAACCTGGTGTTCGACCTCAAGGAATCCAGAAGCGTCCGTACAGAAGCAAATGGCACAGATCCATAAGCCAGAAGTGAGCACTCGTCAGTGTGTCGTTCTAGACAGGCCAGAGCACGTTCCAGTAGGGGAGCCAGCCCAGCAAACTCCTGTCAGTGGACACCCCACAAGGGTGGGCCCCTGGGTCCTGGGCTCCTCGCTGTGGGGGCCCCAGCCCCTGGATCCTTGCTGTGGGACCCTGGGCTCGATGAATGCGGGCCCCACGGCGATGCTTGCAGCCGTTGGCGCATGAATGAGTGACCACCGAGCACACCGCACAGGGTGGGACCTCAAGGAGCCAGCCATTGGTCGCCCCCATCTCTCACCATTCCTGCCCCAGTGCTGGAGACTGCTCCCTCCACCAGAATCTGCAGAATCTCTTCCTCAAAGCTGCCCTGTCAATTCCCAGCGGTCTGCGCCCAAACTGCGGAAGCCAATCTACTGCTTGGCCTGTTGCCATGCAGCTCACCATGGCTGCCTTCCGTCCATTCTTCTTCATCGTCTGTGCCCATCCTCGTGGCCAGCAGGGTCCCCAGCACGGCTCAGGACAAGACCACGTTCCCGCCTCTAGCCCCTGGAGCCTTAGCCCCCCACGCACATGGCCTTCACCTGCTACTGGACTCCACATCATCTCTTATCAGTCTGGAGAACACACCTGCCTAGGAGTGGGTGCCCTGTGTAGGACACAGTGCAACTAATCTGACTCCCAAGTATGCGGCGCTCATCTGCTGCCTGACCTCGTGGAGAACACCCGCTGGTGCTTTGCGAGAAGTCCCATTGCTGCCGCCCCTGCCTGGTACTGCCCCATGGAGGCGACAGCAACCACGTCGCTCAGAACGACTCACGACTCGGCCGGAAGCCGTCCACGGGTTCGGGCACAACATTTCCGCCAACGTGGACCCGCCGATCCGAACAGAGCCTTCGTCAAAGCGATAATTTCCCAGCTGACGACCTGAAATCGAACTTCAAGCATCCACACACGGCCGACACAATCAATCTGGTGTCGACCTTGGTCGAAGCGCGGGCCCTACTCCGACCTCCGGCGGGGTGCGCGTCCCCTGCGGCTGCCCCACGTCCCACGGCTCCCACTCTCCAGGCAAGGCGCACGGAAAGCTGCCCGAGGAATGTGCGCATAAGCCTCGCAGTGTGTTCATCTCCGCACCCCCATGTCAGCTCTGCCAGACCAAGTCCAGGTCGCCGAAGACGCGCCTCGCCATAGACGAGAAGGATGCGGCGTCGGCCTCGCTCGCGCCCGCGCGCACGGAGGCCATCAGCGTCAGGGCACCGCGCCTTTCCTGCACTGCCCTTATGCACACAGGCAGCTCCGGACCCTGGGGCCCGCGCTGCCGGGCCCCGGGGTCCGGGCTCCCGCCCCCGTCGACGACTCGCCTGCGCTTCGCGTCACGGTTTTCGCCTTCGGTGTCGTGGGCCGCCTCCGGAAGGCTGACCAGGAGCGTGTGCGGCGCGCCCGGGCTCCTCGCCGAGAGGCAGCCGTGGGCGCTCGTGACGCTCTCGAGACAGGCCAGGAGGTCCTCCACCGACTTGGAACCGCACTGCGCACGAGAAAAAGCCGAGGGCCATGGGAACTGTCGGGAGAAAAATGGCGATTTCTGCGGCGCATTTTGAAGTTGAGTTTCGATTTTTTTGCAGCGTGGCGTTCGGAACTGGTGACGATGAGACACCAGAACCCTTGCACCGCCCAACACAGTTCTGTGTTACAAAAGCACGGAACAATTACGGCGATCGCTTCGACTCTTGATTTGCAATGATCAAATCGTAGGATCCGCGTGGAGGGGATGGGAGCGGATGGATGTACGAGGAGGCTTTACAAGCGCAGTGTGGATTGCGGATGCCGTGGATGCAGCTGTTGCCACCGGGTGCAAAGCCACAATCTGCATTCCACGCCGGAAGGGAGCTGGGAAGCGCTCCAATTCACAAGGCGCCAATTCTTTGATTTTGTTTCAGCTTGTCTGAATTGCTTGGTCTTTCACAGAATTCGACTACCTCACCGCGCCTCTACCTATCCATGCACTCAAGCATTGATTACTTGGGCAGATGTGCCAGCAGAGAGACCGTGGCAAAGGTTCAAAGATCGAGTGCCAAAATTCCTTTCACTTGCACAATTCCTTGATGTGTGCATTCCCTGTTGCACTTGGTGACACTTCGACCGTCACTGGCAAGATCAGGTGGATTCCCATTCATGACATTACTGTTTTGCATGTGTCATGTAATCATCGCAGCATCCCACCTCCACCTCCTTGAATAACTGTCTTTCCACTGTGGACGGGGCGCCCTTGGATCGAGCAGGAGCCGGAAGAGGCAACGAATTTGTGTCCGGTGAAGCTGCAAACGACCAGGCAATCGCCCATCGAGAGGTCTTCCCCTGTGGACCGAGCCAACTCCAGTGTTCAGCGATGGTACCGTGCTCCAAATTGCGCATCTGTTAGTATTGCGCCATTATGACAAAATGCTGGCCTTGCACCATCAGGCAGGTAGTGAAGGAGCGCCCGCATTTGTTTTCATAGCTTTTGTAGACATCTCTATCTCAGGACACACAGTTGGAAATAATATACAGTAGGGGTCCCTATATAGCGCCCCCCCAATAGCGCCCCCGGCCCCCAATAGCGCCCCCTTTTTTGGCATGTCACCATTTATGTAGTACTTTATGCAGCTTTGTTGCGCAGTGGGACCTCAAACTAGTACAGGGGTCTGGTTTGGCGACCCCTATTTAGCGACCTGTCTAAGTTTAGCGGCTCCCTTTACGGCTCGTCACCGTTCCCGTAGTGCTTTGTTTCACTGCGACAGGCCCCAGCGCCCGCGACTTCGGCGCTGCGACAGTCGCTAGCCCCAAAAGCCGGTATGGACCCAGTAGGCTGGGGGTAGCGTACCCCCCACACTGACGGTCAAGGTACCCCGTACACCGGCAGTTAGGGTACCCCCTGCAGGCGGCCAGAGTACACCCTATAATGGCAGCCAGGGTACCCCCTACACCGGCGGCTATGATACCCCTTACACCGGCGGACATGATACCCCCTACACTGGCAGTTTAGGTTACTCCCTACACTGGCAGCCAGGGTACCCTTTACACCGGTTGCTCAGGGTATCCAATTGACACAATAGCGCCCCCGGCCCCCAATAGCGCCCCCCTTTTGGCCATGTCACCGGGGGGGGGGGCGCTATGTAGGGACTCCTACTGTAGCAGAACTGTAAGATGCAAAATTGAAACATGGCTTACACAAACAAGGCTCCAAACAAGGCTTTTACGTCAGCAACATAAGACTTTCAGCATTTTGATGCACTATTCAAATGAATGAACTGCATTCACACGAAATGGTCAATTCTTGAAAGTACTGTAAGATGCTAGCAGCAGTATTGTCACGTCGTCCAAAATCGTCGTCTGATTGCAAACATGAGTTCTAAGCAATTGCATCACAGAGTGCAGATGCGACACATTGGCAGCAAAAGTCTGATCCACTTTCAAGACAGACGCGTTGCGGTCCTGGAGGAATGGGAGGAGCCACACTGTGGACTGCATAGTGCTGAAAGCAACCGCATGATGATCAGACCCATCGGACAAGGACATCAGGCACAATTCATAGGGTAGCGCGCGATGCGCGCACATAGATAATAATACATCCACTCAGCGCGACAGCACAATTCTCTGCAGATTTGTGCATTCAATGAGCCCCATGCTCACCAAAATTCACTGAGTCTCAAATTTCAAGTTCTTGTGTGGATACTTGCCACCACCGCAATGCCATCGCTCAAGATGTCAGCGTACCCCACATTATATTGATCAGAGGAATGCCCAGTCAGGAATCACGCACCTGGAAGAACTCGGTAGTGCGAACTGCTTTCACACCTGCACTCAATAACCTGTGTCTCACAGCTTTGAGGGTTGATTTCTTGCCCACCATGGAAGTGTACCTGAGGACAGTGACCAAGACCCCATTGACGACAATGTCCACAAATCGGGCAGGCGGTACAATTCGCAGATTGAAGTCCATGCCATACAATGTCAAGACTGCACGAGCCACTTCGGCTAAACACGGTTTGAACAACTGATATGTGTTTCATAATATCCAAACATGAAAGAAATTGTGATTATTGGGATGTTGATTGCGCATGAAACTAGATCGAACAATACCCCATGCCACAAGCAAGGGCCTGGGAAAAAGCACAAATGGCTCAGCACTGCAACAACCCAAGCGCCAGTTTCATTTGACGTGCACTCCTCAATCTGTAGAGATATAGATTTTGAGAGCGATTCAGCCAAGGGCACAAAGCGTTGGGCGATGCCTCATCACCCACTGTCCATCCATGCTGTGTTAAACAGAAGTGGGCTCCGAGCACTCACACATGCTGCTCAAAAGACTGGCGGCTGCACAAGTTCGTTAGGCACACAAAACACATAGCAATCCTAGCCATCCTCATATTGCAGGAGCACCAAATTCTTGTCTTCAATCTGGAAATCAAGCGGCATCAGGCGATGTAACCCAGGAGGATGCCTGGAATCCCAATGCCTGCAAATTTGGGATGGAGCCAAAAGAAATAAAGCAATCCAGAACATGCACCAATTGCGAAATTCATGCCCCTTCTCCAAATTCACCAGTGGATTGCTTGCTTCAGCTCCATACTATCTTCGACCATCTGCATGACGAAGGCCATCTCCCCACCAGGGTACACCATCTCCTCAGGTGTACCACCAAAGGCAGTGTTGGGATTCAGGTTTGACTGCTCTATGCTGTCAAAGAATGGGGGATTACACATGCTGAAATGGAAATTTTCGCCCATCTGCACAGCAGGCGCCAGGATCTTGCCCTGCAAAGCAGAAGCAAATAAAAACCCGGAAGAAGGGTAAGTGCACGCGCAAGCACACAGCTGAAAGAGCCATGTCTTTCTTGGCACACAAAGGGCAATGCCGGTTGTGGGAGTTATCAAAACACAAGCAATAGCACATGAAACAAGCAAAGTTGACACAAACCGGTGATCTGGATAACTGCTTATTGCATTCTCATCTTCCCCCAGGCATAGGCAACAGCTACAAATGTCACCAGTAGTCATGTGCTTGGTTAATGGTGGCAATGTTAAAGCCCGAAAACAATGCTACGGCTATGTACAGCCTCTTTGGAGCAAAAGCTATGTACAGGTCAAAACTGCTTAGATGTTAGCAGGTCCCCAAATGACAAGAAGGCTTTTTTTTCGATGAAAATACATAGGTTTCACAAGTACAGCATTCTTAGGAGTGCTAGCAGTAATATAACACAATACAACCAGCCACCGTTTTTACTCCTTGCCACTTGCACAAACGCACACTGCTGGCAGTCTTGACTTTTTAGTGCTCTGGTCATAGTACTAGCCACAAGGAAACCGCAATAACTTGTCCAGGTTGAGCTGCCAAGATGCCAACACTCACACCAATGTATGTAACAAGGGAGATCCAGAAAGACATCATGACACTAAAATATTGATTGAATGTAAGTCAACTGAACACAAATGACGTGGATGACATGACCCTAGACTTGAACACTTGACAGGGACATACCTCTGCAGGAACTTTCCTCACACAGAGAAGTTTGCTGATTTGTGGATTGGCGTCCAAATTTTTCCGCGCCCATGTGATGGCAACGTCAGTGGTGTCCACCCCAACAAAATGCCATCCCAGCAGAGAGGCGCCAAGCAAGGGGTAGATGAGGTTTGCTCCACACCCCACATCCAGCCCCATCACTGGCCCTTAGCAATCAAGCAAGTAGATGCAGCTGACTCACAAACCCAAGCACCAGGTCACCAAGCAGCAATAACCCCCATCTTGAGTGTTGTTGGATGAAGCTGATACTTTTCGCGTGGGTCAATTACATTAACTGCAAAATCTTGAGACAATGCTGCACATCACAATTTGCTGCTCTGATGCATCAGAAAACGTCCCTCTGCAGTGTCACTGGTGTGCTCGACCATGACCTTCAGCAAGAAGTCCAAGTGTTCACAGCATTTGGTCACCCAAGCTGTGTATCAGTGTTCTTATTCAGTTTCAGGTGCAGTGTCCCTCAGGTATGATCACCAAGTTCTCCATAGATTCGCAGCCTGAAGGCCGTCTCTACTGTTTCATGCGCATCATTCATTTCAGCACATCTCTCCCAAAAGGTACCTAGCGCCCCTCCAGGAGATGGCCAGCGCAATCACAACCGCAAAACTTCCTCCAGAACATACCTGGTGGGGAGGACAACGCCAGCAGGTCCTCCAACCAGTGGATGTAGTTCACACGACTGGTCAGTGGTGGCACAAGCTGGCCGATGGGAATATCCCAATTTATGCCAAAATCGTGCAATAGCAGCGTGCGAGTTAATTCGAGAGTGGCCTGGGGACACTTGAAGTCGATTGTTGGTGCTCCATCTATTGGCCAAAGGGGAACAACACAGAGAGTCTCGGCAACAAATGGAATGGATGGATGCCCCTTCACAAACATTTACTCGGATGTGGAATCAAACATCACTAATGAGCTCACACAGAGGGTTGTGCACATCATGACAGCTCTGTTGCCTTCTCACCAGAGTAAGCGTTCCAATTGACGTCTCTTTACAAACAAAACAGAATGCTGTGTTGGCCCAGCCAGGCATCATCAGTTGAAAAAACGTTACAAGTTGCAACATATGCTGACAGTCTACACGGGCCTAATACAGAGTGCACAAGCCTGCAACAGCAAAGAAATTGAACGGAGCAGAAGACAGTCCAGCTGGCATTGTACAAATGGAGGCCAGTGTGAATGGAGAATGCAGGTGAGGTGGCATCAATCAGATGAAACACACTTTGGGAAGCTGAGGACAGGACCAGAAGGGCGCCTTGCAGTTGTGACGTCACTCACTTCTGAGCATTGGCCACAGGCTGTCCGGCAATATGGCATTTAATTTGTCAAAACTGATATGTCTCTGCCCTCGCACCTGCAACACGATGTTGCCAACAAGTCCTTCCACAGAATGTCCAAATACGATCTCCATAAATAGCATCTCAATAACACTATCCAAACTTGAAGACATAATTGTGGGCCAGTACCCTACCCTTTGGGCAGTGCACAAATCTTTTCAGGTTGGGGTACATCTGTGAAAGTCGTCCGAAATCTGGCTCCTCATGTGCATACTTGCTCCTTGGGTGTATTTTGTAGTTGTTTGGGCGTCTGTTTCGGTTGGCTTCTTTCTCGTATTCTTGCGGTCCTTCCACACAATTCACAAATGAGAACAACGTCACACCCATCATCAAGATATGGCCCTTCACTGCTATTGGGGTACCCCCACGATTTCACAAAAGACGGTAAAAGGCCTGTGAGTCAAGCAATGTCCCTGTTCACTTCCTTGTTGCCAATCAACAAACCTGCACAAGCCCCGATTACTCATCCATCGACTCTACACCTTCATGACGTTCACACTTGTGCACAGCACTATTGAATTCTTTTAAATGTCAAGTTGGCAATTCCTGTCATGCAAACTGGTCGTCAGGGACCCAACCTGTGACATGTACAGGGCTCCTCAAAAGCGGCACACAATTCACCGCTTGATGAGACATTATGACACACCAATGTGAACACATCCCAGCATCGCTGTGTAAACTCTGCTTCACAACTGTCATGGCTCGCAGCACGAATGACCCCAGACAAACACACCAACAGTGGTCTCTGACGATTCCTTGGGATCTGGATACATGCTCCCAGAGGTATGTTCTGTGTGGGGCTCTGGCTGTGCCATGCGCCCATTGTGCTCGCCAGTTATCCCTTGCCTCTTGTCGCTTTCATCAGTGGTTGCGCCCGATGTCCCTTTCATATCTTCCAGCACACCTTTGGTGTCAAGCACAGCTGCCTCCAATTCACACTTGAGCTGTTCACAGCCGGAAATGAACACTTATGATAGGCATCTATGGCCTAGCTCTGTCAGCCTCATTCCCTATCATGCATGAACTTGCCAGGCTGAGCTCCCGGATTCTTGTTCAGGCAGGGGCTGGAATCTGGGCCCAATCAACCCTTTTGATGACCCCATCTTGTCAAAAACGACAGCGGGGAGGCGGAACTACTGGCCTCCACTGCGGTGTATAATATGTGCTGAATGCATCACCCCTCTTTCCAATACCTAACATCACCAACGGCCGATCGACGCTATGTTCCCCTGTGATGGTGCCTCTACCTGCAGCAGCTCCAGGTTATTTGGCTGCGCTTCCAGCAGTTTTTGCACCTCCGCAAGCTGCTCCGCGCACAGAGCAGCGGCCTCCTCGACTTCATTTTCCTGGCCAGCAGTCCACCCCGGTGAACATCCCGTCCCAGCAAGCATACTGCCGTGCCGACTGGGGTCGGCCGACCGGCGGGTGTCCGAGCCACAATCAACCACCTTCGATGCTCGATTCGTCGCGTGGTCGTGAGAGGTGGCTGCAGCGGGCGGCTTTGCTGCATTTGCTGCGCGGTTGCCGCGACGGCATTTGAACTTCAACACAATCACTGTACAGTTAACCTCAGTACACACAGCGGGCGAGCGCGCTCACCATCTGCTTCGGCTTGGAGTTGCCAAAACCCAAGAATCCTGTTGGGCGGGAAGCAGAACTGGGATCGGTGTTGGCCTCATTCCTGGTATCATCCCCAGCGATTGCGTCATTGCGTCTCATTATTGTGTCCAATCAGAGGTCCTGGGAAGCTGTGGGGAAGCTCTTATCGCGAGGGGCATAAGGCAGCGACGGAGCCTGATATGCTTTTGGCGGGTGCGCTCGTTGTCACCTTCAAAGGCGCGTCGACATTCCCTGTTTCAAACAGCGGCATCAGAAGTTGGGCCAGGCCGCCATGGACGCCAATTGAATGGCGAGTGGCACCTCGCGCTTCGAAATCGCGCGGGTCGAGGATGTTTTGGGAACCACGGCTCCCAGTGGTTGACGAATTTGTGGAGACATTGGATGTGTTCACTCAACGACATGCCTGCATGGACTCCCAATTGCATGGTGGTGTGCCACGTTGACTCGTGACTCAGCGTGTTTGCGTGCTGTGGACTTTATGCTCATTAGTCACTGACTGATGAAAGGGCAATGACTCTTGCTGCAACATCTCTTTCTCTCACTGGTCTTCACAAGTACACTGTGTGGCATTACAGCGTGTCTGTGCATGGAATTCAACACGCTGACTTGGAGAGCAAATTGAAACATTAGGTGACATTGCTCTTCCCCTTCTACGAGTCCATGAGCATTGGCCGCAGGTGCCGCACCGTGCTGCCACGGTCAGGAGTGGCGGGGCCTTGAGCATCGCATCGGGCATCCGTTTCTGGAGAGCGCAGCAGCGGCACAAGCGTACAGCTCAATGCCGCACAGCAAAGTTGGCAAGCGACACTTTCGGGCCTTGCTGCGTATGAGGCTGAAGGCTGTGGCATTTAGTGAAGAAGCGGATTGGTGGGGTGCTCTCATTGTGCAGATACCACCTCGTTGAGATCGCGTATGAGATGGAGGCGCCGACTCGTTGAGATGAGCATCAGTTCGACGCCGTCTGACTCAATGCTTGAACCTTCTCTTGTGCAGCTTCCACGCGTTCAAAGCACGGCAAATGCACTCCGTGCGCGTGCCCTGCACGAGTGCGAGGCTCCGTGGAAGCCACAACATTACTCACGGTCGACTGATCCACACACCTCGAGAAACAATCACCCATATGCAGCTGCTTTCGAAAATCAACACGATTTAGCATTCAACTGACACGGTACAACACTGCCATCCCCCCACTGCCACAACATCTGGCAGTTAGTTTAACGCAATGTTCACACTTCCGTAGTCACACAATCCTCCCACCAATTCCCTCATGCGATTGCACTCGCATTAGCCCATTCCTGGCAGGCGGAAAGCCATGATCACGCCTCCTAATGGGGAATACAAATACTCAACACGACAAAAAAAGGCTCCATTATCTTCCTACTGGACCAAAAGAATGAAATTGGCTCTTTCCGCTCTTTGATACAAATACGGTCCCACACCGGACCATTGATCTTTGACCTACCAATGCGCCCATCTGGCAGGCCCTAGAATCCCAATCCCGGAAAACGAAAAATGCCATGAATTCATCGCAATGAACGGCTCTCGCCGCCGCGACTCTCGATCCAAACACAGAAACGCTAAAGCACAAGTGTATGTATCCTCGCATACTCAATCCAAACAATTGCCCTTCGCTACCACGCGCACCAAATCAAGTCAATTTCAAAATCAGGCAGCTGGAACTTCCCCTGTGTCCAAGTAGCGACCTGAGCAACCGCCATCAGGCGAAGGCTGGGCCACCAACCCCGCCTTGGGCAGGCTGAGCGTCTCTCTCTGGCTCGGACGCCGTATTGTTTGCATATTCAGCCCGTGCAGCGGCTATGGCCAGGGGATACTGCTCCTGCAACAAGTGGAGGGTAGCAGCCCTCCAATCCCATTTGGTCGTCTCTTCCCGAGCAGCACGTCCCGCAGATGTCCTGCAGCATTTAATCATGGGTGAGATCAGGTGAACTCCATTCGACAATTGTACATCCAAAATTCTGCCCCGATCGGAGGTTGACCCAAGATGCTGAAAAGATGCGACGCAACATGCAGTACAGCGATGTGCAAAAGGCTACACGAATCCATGTGGAATAACGTCAAAAACTGGTGCAGCACTGCAATTGCACCTACAGACGATGTTGGGAGTGATCAATAAAGCGTTTGAGCCCTAATTTACATGAAGGTAGCAAAGAAGACGCAGCATATTGGCATGTTGTATAGAGGAAAGCTGTTCCTAGGATCAGTGACACCAAAATGCGTGGTCGCACTAAACTGACAGCATTATGCTCGTCCAAACCACGACGATGTCAACCTACCTGAGCTCTTCATCGGCAAGGAGGCGTTGCACGAGATTCACAGCACCATCCAGGTCTCCAGGTTCGTACAGGTACCCCCCAACCCCTGGACCATGGGCACAATAGCTTGTAAGAATCTGTACCGTGTTATCCAGAGGTGCTGCTGGCAAAATCATTGTCAAACATTCACGTGCGCCGCTTGCTTTCACATGTGGAACTCAACAATCTCCATCAGTTCAGCATATTCCCACAACAGCCTGAACTGAAACTTGAAAACTGTAACTGTGCTGTAACTTGATTGTGTAACTTCCTTGCAAACCACACTGTCAGAGCATGAATCCACAAATGGGCATTTCCCAGCATCAGGGGCTGGAGTCACAAGGACCAAAACAAATTCACAAGGTGCATTACGTAGGCAGCCAAGAACACGGAAAACAACGTGAACACTTTATAGCACAAGTGGAAAATACTGCAACTATTCTTTTCCATAAAGATGTGTTCTCTTGTTTTGACCGATTCACGGAAGATACAGAACAGACCCCGCAGAAATGACCCACTTGTGGGCATGAGTGTCCACACCTTCACTGTGAATGATGTCTGGAATGCCTCCAGCCCTCACGGCCACGACAGGAACCTGGGACGCCATCGCCTCAAGGACAACAAATCCTAAGGTCTCACTCTCAGAGGGCATCACAAAAACGTCCCCGCTTGCGTAAGCTGCCGACAACTCATCACCCTGGAACGTCACCAGGACAACAGCTGCCAGCCTGAGTGTGGGAAGCACAGATGCCTTTCAACATACAACACCCAGAGCAAAAAGCAAATAGGGGAGTAAAATGGCGCCAAGGTCTGGACTGTGAGCAGAGCTGGACGATGGTTCAAAATGGATATTATCTTGGACTTGCAAACTTTGTATTTTTGAATGCGAAGGTTGACATCTGCAATTTGCGGCTACCCACAGTGGATGAAAACACTGCCCTTCATCTAATGCAGGGTGCCTCAGTACGACCTAGCCCAGGGCTATCGTTCATGCATTATGTCCTAAAACCCCCCCCATGATGCACTGCATCACGTCAGCATCCCATAAGTGCTGATCAATGTGTCATTGTCATCCACCTCAACATGCATCTCCATGCTGAACAACATCTGTGGCACACATTAGCTGCATAATATCTGCCTTTCAGTTGTCTTACAAATGCATACACAGCCAGCAGCCAGCACCAACACTCAGATGTGCCAACGGGAACACAAGAGGGTGAAAAGATGAACATGAGAGTGACATCCCTCAGAACGATCGGCCAAACTTGGTGAAATCAGCTTTGGGGCCACGGGGCTGACGCACATGAAGCATTCCAAGGAAGACTGTAGGAGTGCCTCTGAAGTGAACCTCCAGTTCCTGACGGGCCGGGCCATCGCCAACAAAAGCCAAGCGGGTCCCTGGCAATTTGTCAAGCATCCCCTGCAGCAGACCATCACAACTTCCCTGAACATGGCAACTCCGTTTCACTGGCACAATTGAGTGGGCTAAGCCCTGATGCAACACCCGAACACAATCGTCCGCAATGACCATATTGTACTTTGGAACTGCAGCAGTGGATACAAAGTCACTGCACACAGATGCTTCTCTTCAGCAACAGTGTGGAGAATGCTTATCACACAAGAGACAATGCAGCAAGGCGATCCACCAGGTAGTCAACTGGCCCATACCAGACTGCAGGCTCACCAGGCAGTATGTCAGCACCAGATTACTGTACAAGCATGCTACAACAGGCTCAAGGCACAGGGAAAGGTGGCACTCACCTTGAGGAACTTCAGATTCTTCTCCACTCCCAATCTGCCCACATGCACAATTACTGAAGCCTCAGGGTTGCCATCTGTCAACCTTTCCCTCATCTCTTGGTTCTTGAAACGTGGGTGGAATGCATCTGCATCAATTCCCTTGCGCCACACCTGCCCGCCACACCCCAGAACAGTGTGAGTTGTCTGTGATATGTTTGGCAATAGTTGGCTTTCAGCTTGTCCAATCAGAACTGACAAGGGCCTAACGCAACACGTTTGGATACGTGTCCACAACAATTGGACCAGATGAACACTGGGCCGTGAGTTCTATCTTTAGTCAGGAGTACTCACCACTGCAATCTTGTCCTTGTGTATAGAGCATGCACACCAACAATTCACCAACCCAGCGTGTGCCAGACAGAAAGAAGAAGTCGCCAGGATTCAGCATTCACCACCTTTGATATCATAAATCTGCTGCACATGCATTCGCTGTAACACATCCGTGCATTGCCTTTCATGCCATGTCCACCCCAAAGGCACCACCAACACTCTTCTGCCTTCCCCTTGGCTCAAAATTAAAACCTTTGATTGTTTCATGATCTGCTGGTATTCAATGTATTGGCCACAAATGTGCACATAACCTCATGAATGTGCCAGGCATTGTTCAATGGTTCAAGGGTACATCCAGTAAGGGTATATGAGCACAACTGTGATCAGTGCTTGCCTGCAAGCAGACAATCATATGAACAGAGCTTGGGTTTGATTCAGAACGTAAGCAGAAGATTTGTGGTGCCTTGTGCACAGTCAATACTTGAAACAAAGCCCCCTACACAATTCACACTGGTTGATGCTCATCGACCATTGATGCTGGCAAAAAGGGCTGGCCTACAACGAACCTTGAGAGACTCGTCAGGCGCAGTGTCCTCTCCAAGGAACTCGTTCCTCAGCATGTGGCTGGTGACGAGTGTAAGGTGGGCAGTGTGGTGCAACATCCGGAAGAATGTCCACATTGCTGGGATCTATGGACACAAAACTCCTGTCACCTTCTGACTTGTTCTCACATACTAAATCCTGATTGCTGACAATTAGGAATGTCAGCAACGGCAAGGTCAAGATGTGTGAGCGAAGTGCAAGAATAGCGGCTGCAACTTTGCTGTTTAGACATCCAGCAGCACAAGTGTCTGAAGGGACTGATCCTGTGTATTGATCTCATCCTCATCGGTCTGAATGTGCATCCACGCAAAACCACTGATTAGAGCTCAGTGCCCAAGCCTGCCCACCTCACAGAGGGGTATGGCAAGGCACAGTCGGTCTGCAACCACTCACCACGAAACTCAAGTTGTACCTTGGAAGGTATTTCGGAATGTGTGTGTGATAGGCCAGCACCAAAGGCAACCGCAAGATTTTGGCATACAGCCATGCCGCGAATACAATGAAGCCTGGCGTTGAGCAGTGGACAATGTCAGGCTTGAAATCCCTGGCATGGAGCAACCAGGAGGCAAACAATCAGTGACCCACAGTGTGAACACAGGCACTAGCAGCGGAAAGACCAAGGCAAACAGCTCAAATTGCAGTAAATATGCACTCATGCACAAGCATAGCAATGTCCTGATGGTGCACAAGGCAGCAAGCACAACGTCCTGGTGCTAAGGGCAACATAGAGGAGGCACTTCGGACAACAACATTGGATGAAAGGCTGCAGATGCTGCCCACCTCACAGCTGAAAATATCCTTGGAGACAGCCCCAAGGTAAGTGGAAGCTGCCAGTACCATGGGCAGCCAACGCTGAAGCTGCTGACCACCTTGGCACCATAGTACTCATACGGCGGGTCCCTGAAGGCAGAGGTGTCTGTTCCAGGAGCTGAAAAGCCCTTCCCTGCAGGCAAGCCATCACTCAGCATCCTGTCTCCATACAAACTACTGCAGCACATGGCATACATGCTGCGAATCTGCCTGGCAGGTTGGTGGGCCGGCTAGCCCAGGTCAGGTGGAAGAGTCGTACTCCTCGTCTTGGGGCAGGTGCAGTGAAGCGAATTTGAAGCAGTCAGGAGTGAATAAGCAAAGTGGATGCAAGCTAGAATCTACTTGGATGACTTCACCTTTTCTTCTGAAAGTCAATCTTTTTCGATCTTTCCTTTTTGGGAGGTTGGGCGCCTGACATTGCGTCACTTCGCCTTTAAAGTGTTTTGTACTTCAAGCCCCACAAAACAAGGCGCACACTTTGAGCATGACAGCCAATTTCCTTGCATCTCAATGGCTGGTAGTGGTTGTGGTGCAGGGAGGGCAATCACCTGGTCGTTAACTCTCCTGCACGTCAACACGCACCGAAACTGGAAGCAATCCCTGCTGCAAAGCATTATTGCTTGCGCGTACACAAGGAATGCCAGTTTTGCGGCATGGATCGTTGCCAGTGTTGCTGCCTGCTACATGCAGGAGAGTTTAACAAGAGATTCACGGCTGGGATGCTTGCTGCATATTTTCAGCAATAACATGTGGCTTGTTCTCAAGGTGTTGGCTCGTCATCAATCGTTTCAGCAGGAATACAATACTGCAGTCCCTACAGGTTGCCAAATACGTGTTCTGACCCCCAGAAGAGCACAGTTATCAAACTGTGTAGAGCAAGCTTGCACGGCCACCCCACACACATCCCAAATCTTGCTGACCTGGTGTCACCACCAACACCTCACACCCCGCCTCTCTCAGGTATTTGATCATGTTGCAGTACCGATTCTTGTAACCGCACACATACGTGAACGGGGACGGCTCCACGAAGATGGCCACTCTCTTGGGAGGCGCGGCAGGTGCCGGTGGGGCCGTCATGCCGTTTTCTTGAGAGATGGACACGGAAGGCGCAGACGTCGTCTCGAGAGGCCCCAGCCGGGGGGCCACAGGGACCGGCTGGCACCTCTGGAACCCACCTAATCGCAACAGCAGCGCTCAACCTCGAAAATGCGATCACCAGAAGATCGCCGCCGCAGCATTGAGCAACTGGGTTGGGAAATATAACTTGCGGTGTGGAGAAAATTGAGAAACGGGGTGCCTATGGGGAAGAACGAGACCAACATTGTGTTGATGCAATCACAGCACTGGCCTGCCCTTCGACAGGCGGGGTGGCGGTGCTCAGATGTGGTGCACCAAGCATGGCCATCGCGAAAGAAGTTGAGGAAGCCAGGGCTGCGAGGTCGCATCCACGAGCATTGCGGTTTTCATTGTCTGCTGTGTTCGATGGGGCCAGACCACACCAAGCGAGCACCGTACAAAAATTCCCCCAGTAGTCTACATCCCATAGTGAGTACAAGAGCAGACCGGGCCACCTTACAGGGACTGCTGCCAGCAAGGAAATTGCTCCAAGCAGCTCCGACGGCCGTGCCCCCGAAACGCATGGCGCGGCGCCGATGCACAAAGCGGATTCTCACCAAGGGCGCGCTGATTGCGCAGGGCGCTGATCCGCCGGCCTCCCACCGTCCTGGCCGTCGACTTGGCGCCAATCGCTGGGGCATCCCCAGCCTTGCCTCGAGCGAGCCCTGTGCCCAGGCCGTTCGGCGTCATGGCCTTGTAATGCGCGGGAATCCCCATAACGGCTGTGTTAGGGGGATTGGCACCGTGAATTGTGTCAGGGAGCGCAAAGCGGCTCTTGGGCGACGGGCGACGGACGCCGCCTGGAGGCACGGCGAGCGAGGGAAGCGTGGGTCAGAAGGCAAGCATCATGGCCCGGTTGCGAGAAGTGGGAACGGTGGAGGAGAATATTTCTCAAGGATTCCAGACGTTTGGATCCGGGACGGGGACGTCAAATTGGGGCGTTGGGCGGGCATTTGCTCCAAAGCTGTTTCTGTGTTGCGCTGGGTCCGTTGTGTCCCAGGCTGGGGGCGGTTTGTGGTGGTGGTGGCGGAGGGTGCCAGGGAGGCATGGTTCCAGATGCCCGGACACCTGGGCAACCTTTCGATGGCATGCAATCGCTGTTCAGTCCTTTTTGCTGCTGCCCCTGTCTTTTTGCCGGTCGGTGCACTCCTCGGACCGAACCAAACTGCTATCAGAAGTTTGCTTGCAAATCCGGATACAGGTGAAATGTGTAAAATCAGCAATAGAGTCAATCGAGACTGACGCCGCTGGGCTATCTGGCAACCGCTCGAGTTACGTGCATCATGGCTCCAGATTGAGCACTTCAAGCTGTGCCAGGCGGAGAGCGGATCGCTTGGGCGGCCAGAACAAGGTGCCGAGGTATTGTCTTGGGCAAATTTCTGGGTTCTGTTGGTTCTCCAATAGGCGGTTGTGACCATCTAAAAGCAGTAGACGAACTTGAAATTGTCGTCGAGGTATCGATTACCCAGCAACTTTGTGCGTATTACTAAGCTAACCGTAACAGCCTCTTTCGAGCGCATACACGTGCGACATGCATGTGAGGCACATGCATATGACATGCATGTGACCCGCTTCTCAGTTCTCCACCAACAGGTCTGGTCCCCTTGGTCTGCACTCGAAACAAATTGGCCACCTCGCCCCAGAAGCCACGGGCAAGCCACCGCCGTCAAGCGGGCCATCAGTTCACAAATGCTCCATTACCTGTTCCGCCCTCACCCGCCCTTTAAAAAAAGTCTTGCCCAAAAAAGGCTTGCCGAAAAAAAGTACTGGAATGTGCCCTGCACCATTTGGGAAGGTGTGCGGAAGGCCTCCACAAAGTCAAAGGCAGTCCAGCCAGGCCGCCCCCCGAATGGGCTTGCTGCGTGCCGCACGGCGCTGCGCACTGAGCACCAGCAGGACGGGGCGGAGCTCCGTCTACGCGGCAGCGATGGATGCGCATCGGTCCCACAGGCCAAAGGTGGGCCTTCTTTGCGCTCGAGGATTGCGAAATCCAATGCCGCGGCGCAGAGCGGCCATCAGGCAATGGCGCCCTTTCCAGGACTGAATGCTGTGATGCTGTCAAATTGGATCCCATGGAGGCATCGATTTAGGCTGCGCAGTTGTCCGAATCAGCGCACCAAGTGGATACAACTTTGTGCTCGAGCTCTCCGTGGGAATTGTGTGATGTGGCACTGCGACTCCGCCTTTCGAGCCGCTCCAGACGTCATGCACCAGTCGCGCTACACGCCCAATGTGTACAGATGGTGAATATTTAATCAGTCGGCTCTTCGGAGACAGAATCGCTCTGCTCAATTAAACGGGCAAAGGGCTTTTGAGGAACAATTTTGGTCGTTAGCCCATCGTAGCGCGAGATTGCGTCCGCGTGCGGTGTCTAAACCCGAGAAGAGATTCACAACGTTCTTCTTACATCGCCAATCCCTGTGCTTGGCTTCTCCATACTGTTTAGTGGCTTCGCTTCAACTGGTTGGACTTTGGATGAGTCAATTTGCACCCCACGCGAAGACCGTCCTTACTGCCACTCCTCTGAAAATTCAGGTTGGCTGATTGCGATGATCTTGCCGATACATGCCAGGCATATGTGAGATGCATCCCAGGGGAAGAAAATCTGCAAATCATGATAACCCTGGCAGGAAGGGAGCGGAACATGAACAGGTGCCGTTGGAAGAAATGCAAGGAGTGTTGCATTTTTGATAACCATAAACGGTTAGGGCAGCAGTGCATGGTGCTATACAGTACAAGTTGTGGCGTGCAAGCAAGTAGGCACACCTGAATCGTGAGAGCACAAAGTGTGCTCTGCACCTTGAACATGTAGAACAACATTGTGATGCACACACCAAAAATAGGCTCTCAGATTTGTTTCCGATCTGATCGTCTTTTTTGTGTGCGTGCTCAGACAGTCTTGGTAACATGGTCGTTGTGAGCAATATTGCCAGCCCGCTTGATTGTGGACATAGCTTTGCCACTCTGCCAAGCCCCACGTAACAATTTACATTCCCCAACAGCCCTTCGATGCAAAGTGTGCGTTTGTTCTCTTGCCACGTTTGATCTTCAGTTGCGATCGCCAAACCCACTGTTGTGTGGCCCATCCAGTGAGCCAAGAATGATCATAAGCATAAGCAAGAATGGCTGTGTTGAAAGGATTAAATGTTAAAGGAAGTTTTTGGCCAAGGAACTGTGGCTCTTATCACTGAAGCAGAAGACTTGTCAAGTCCATTGTGACGGTACACTGTTTGTCTGCCAAACTTGATGCTTTTGATGCATGTACTCAGATGCCTTGTGCTTCAACCAATTCATCTGCCAGAAGGGACTAAAGTTCTGCATTCGTGCAGTGCAGTTATCCCAACAACATGTTCTCTCTTACATCATATCTTCCATAGCAGCAATGCATCGCACATCTGTTTTGTATCACCCATCAATTGCCTTGCACTCAGTTGTGAATGGCTTCCCTTGTTAAGGACCAAGGCATGGCACTGAAGCACTGAATATCTCACTTTCCCTTGATATGCTAATTACAATTTGGTGGTGATGCTGAAGAGGTCACCCTGTTTGACGAAGTTGTAGGGATGCACTTATCACATAATGCACCTGAAATGGAAGAATGAATGATTGATTGCCTGAATACGTACATGGGTCTGACGTTGTTGTGGAACCCCAGGCCGAAGTCAGAGCTTTTAGAGAGATCCCTGGCTCGCATCAGGATCAGTCTGACAGCCAAACCAGGTGCCAAACAACCCATTCGATGATTGGAACCAAGCAAGTTGTACCTGCAAAATGTTGTTTTAGCAGCTGTTTGCCGGGAGCCCTCCTGCTGGTGGTAACCAGCTGGCAGTGCTTCACATCAGTGGATGGCCTTGTGTTGGGTGACGTTCAGTGGGACACAGTCAACATGACACAGATGGAGCTGACCTGTGGTTGTGTGGCACACCTGTCCTGTCCCAATACTGCTCATACACCTTCAATTGTGCTACCACAGCCGTGCTGATTATGCTGCTCTGTTCAGACAAGAAGCGCAGGAAAAAGAATGCAGATGTTGCTGCTGAGGAGCCTTACATTCCTGTTGAGTTGTACGAGACATCCTCCTCCTCAAAGTAAGCATACTTTCTATGTTGTGACCAACAATGGGTGCCCCTTTTTGGAATTGTGGAGCCTATATTATTGCATCTTCATCGACTGGATGCAATGATTTTCTTATATGTGTGCTGTCAAAGCATTGGCCAAGGCATGTATTGGCGTGTCATGTTTACATAGCATACATTTGCCTTGCAACGTGTGCTCCAGTACAAGCCCCCATTGACATGAGAAGAATGGTGGATATTCCCACATCCTGGGCTTGCAACAGGCGAATTCCTTCAGACTTGGGGACTGGCAAGTGTCTCCACCCATGTTTGCACAGTGCCATGTTGGCTTTGAGAGCAGTTCTGAACACAATATAAATGCATCGCAACCTCCATTGAGCCACACGACAAGAGGGTGGGGGGAAGATTGCCACAGCAGGGATTTCGTGCAATCTGATAGGTGCCGCCTTCTCTGGTGTGCTACTCTTTGTCGGTTGCGACCAATTCTTCTTGGTGAATTCCTTGCAGCACATTTGTTGCAGTAGCCGCAAAAGCAAAGCCTTTGCACCTTGCGACTGATGAATGTGCCCTTTTGCTGGAGTCAGGAACATTGGTGGCTTTGAGTAAAGGGCTGAAGAGCAGTGGGGATCGATTTGTGCCGTTGATAGTTACTGAAGGCTGCATGCCCTTGCTGAAGTATTGCCTGTTGTACCTTGGTGGTGCAGGCCTATTGACTTGCAAGTCAGCAACGAAGCAGGGTGGACCAAGGCTGGGGCTCTCCTAGCTGGGCAGCAGATGTTCGATGTGGAGGTCAATCCGCCGACCGTTGACAAGGTGCCTATTGATGGCGAGAAAAAAGCACGGTACCAAAACTGCGGTTGCAACAGTTGATAAACTTCCTTTTGGTACGTACATTCATAATGCGCTTATTTATTAGTACAACAATGGCGTGTATCTTGGTACACAGCATGTGTTAGTAGTAAATGTATTGAGTATTTTAGTAATGCTCCACATATTATAGGTTCGTCGATTTATCGAATTCGGCTTGCATCGAGCACTGTTTACTCCACCTACACAACAGGCTCCACAGCAGCGTAGTGAAATCCTGTGATGTGCGTGCATAAATTGCAATGTGGCGGCAGTGTGCCTAGTCGCAAAGCTGTTCGCACCCAGAACTGTGATGCCAGACGTCTGTTTTCAGCGTCAAGTTTGGCTGTTGTGGATAGGTGGGTGCTCCGGGGCAGCTGCAATCGCTCGTTGACGCCGTCTGTGTGCATTTTTTGCAGATAAGCCTCCACACCACGCCAATGATTGGATACCCACTTCTGCCAAACTACGTTGTAAGTTTGTGTTCACTCGTGTCACACCCGTAAACTGCGCAAAAAGGCATGCATTGTATGGTGCTCAACCTTGGTTCTTTTCTTGTATACCGAACAGTAGCGATTAGGCCACAATCAGCGCCAGCGCAGTCTCTGCCAAGTCCTTTCTGCTGCCTGCAAGAATCAACCAATTGCGCGCAACATTGCACGCTGTTTGTGTGCAATAAAAAGGCCTTCAAGGCAGGATGTGGCTATTCAGCCCAATTGCGTCCAAATCGCAGCCCCCAGATGAGGCTTATTTTACCTGCGAAAAACATTGTCAATTGTCGGATGAGAGACCAAAGTGGCGCAGCACCAGCGCTCGGATTCTTTTGGCTGCTGACCTTGCAGATTCTGAGTGGCTCATCTGTGTTAATGGACCAGAGCAGGCATCCTTATAGGAGGATGAACGGTAACGTACAGGAATCAGCCCCATGCTGCGTGAGCCGCTGCCTTTAAGATGCATTTCTGTGTGAAAATGAACACTGTTATCGTACACCGGTGCAAACGTTCAACCCATCAAGAATATTGCACATGTCAAGGCAAGCAGGTAGCCTTCGGCTCCTCAATTTGCCAGAGAAAGACGGTGTCAGATAATGCGCTCAATGAAATTCCAAGTTATTGCTGCATGGGTACGCAGAATCCGCCAGTCCCCAGTTCCAAGGGAGATTGCCTGTGGTCATGCATCGAAAAAAGCGTCTTCGCAAGGTGGCGAGCTGTGACAGAAGGAAACAATGGCTTTGCATTGATGACGGTTGTCTTCCTTGCGTCTTGCAGCTGCAATTTGCGGACAGCGAAGCATGCGAGTGGCAGTGGTTCAGGCGACATAAAGGTATCCAGTTGCATCGTGCACACCACGGCCCCTATGTCGCAGAAAGTTTGCGTTCTGATGCGCTTCGGGAAGACAATATAATGTGAATTTGGCATGCTTAGTGTCCAATCAGCGCTGAGCTCAGAGAGCCCTCCCCAAACCCCCTTCCCCTCTTAGTGCCAATCCTTATTTCAATGCCAGGATGACTCAGCAATACTACCGAACAGTGTGATACATCTTCAAAATATTCGTGGGAGAACCAACATCCTAAACTGTAGCCATGTTAGTGTGTGCAGCGTTGAGATACTAAATCCATGGTAAACGATTGAAGTAGGCCCCAAAACTATGACTCGATCCATTTCAAGGACTTCCTGGAAATTCAAAGTCCGAGGGAGGTTTTGGAACAAGATATGAACTCTCTACCGCTGATCAGCGGGGTTGTTGCGCATTATTCCACCTTATTTTGGTTTTGGTGCAATCATGTAATCTCCTTAGCGTCCAGCTGCCCCCCAACCCGACCCCACCCCACCCACCCACCGATCCACATGAATGACACCAAGCACACATCCAGTTATTTGGTTACAAGCCTGTACGGGCTGCAGCGCAACTTTCACCAGCGCCCCATTGTGCTGCAGATGGACAAGACTGGCAAGCCATCGACTGCCAGTCCCGCGTATACACGCCAAAGGCAGAAGACAAGGGCTGTTCGGTCCGTGTTCAGTGTACGCCTAGGGCCTTCTCGAGCCACAACGACTCGAAAGCTAATGGAATAGGGGGGAGTGTGCGTGTGGGCATGCCAGTTGCGGCAGACACGGGTGAGTTGAGGAGGCCTTATTCCACCTTGTGCGCGACAGGCACAGCGCTGTGGCATTGGGACATTGTTGTTTCAGGTGAAGCACTGGGCCGATGGCAATATGTATGGAAGTGTAAGGGCTCAGCCCTCAGCCTCCTGGTGCATCACCTGTTCCACACCATTTCACGGCCATCTGCAATGAACAATGTGCTCTGAAGTGAATGTGCATCCAAGTGCTGCGCTCAGAAGACAAGATGCGCACGTCTTGTGCTACCTATGCAGTATTTCAGATGCATAAATTCTTGAATATTGAAAAATGGCGCTGAGAAAATGGAGAAGATGTGCCGACGCTCGATTCTTAACAACTTTTTGCGCACTTTCAGGGTGGACAGAAACTGTGTGAAATATGCTATTGTTTTGCCAGTTCTACGCTCAGGACCGTGTCTAAGCTGCAATGCCAAAATTAATGACGCATTCCTCACAAGTACAACTGAGTCTTGCTCAAAGTACTGGAGCTGTCCCTTTTGCAGGCATCAAACGGTCCCAAACACGAGATTGCAATTGCGCAATTGGGCCGGTTTGAATGCGCAGCGTATTGCTCATGCACGATTCACCACAGGCAAACGCGGCTCGAGCACGGAGCCGAATTGTGCTAGAATAAACACTTCTGCCCCGTGGTTGCTGATTTTCTCGGATTACATGAGCCCCACGGGCAAAACCAGGCCCTTGCACTTACAAGGGGACGGCACCAGCTTCGATCCCTCCAGCGCGTTGCACCCGCCAAAGCAAGAAAGGCCGCAAAGGCGATGAGCACCACAAAACAATCGGGACCAGATCTTAGACTTAGCCTTTCTGTCCATCAGCAAGGTAGGTGCTCCGCAAGCATTTTTCCAAAATGCACGTGGATGTCTCCAGCGGCGCAGCGCTGCCCAGCGATTGCGCTGTTTACAATATGAGCGCCGTGGACGGGCGTGCCATCCTGTTGCGCTCGCAGGTTCCGCATCTTCCGCTTCAGCGCGAATAAGGCTTGGAATATGAAGAAATAAGAAACACGTGATTGAAGAAATATGTGCAGTTGCCAAGGCTGCGCCAGCATTCCTCCTCTGGAGGGGCTTGCAGGTAATTGACGAAGTTCCTTTCTGCTGGGAAATAAGAAAAGCTGTGTGCTCGTGTTCAGGTCCGGTGGACGAAGGACCGCCCGAGGTACCTGGCCAGGGGAGGCACCTCCACACGAATGAGGTCCTCAGAAGCCCCCTGTTCCGTGTGGTGACCTACAACATACTGGCTGATCAATATGTGAGCATGAACGACACGCAGGAACTTCTGTTCAACTACTGCGACAAAAAGTGAGCAACAGCGCACGCCAGTGCTCTTCCCCACACCCCCTGTGCTGCATGCAGAATGAAAAATGCTCTATGTAGTTTAGTGTCCCAGCAATGAGCAATCGAACAGCGTTGTTGGTGGTGTTGATCCCGTGGTGGCTGTGCTGCTTGCCGTCACCGATCGCCCCATAGCAACGACGCCAAGGCAGCGGTCGCAAGAGATTTGGCGATGATCTTAGCGTGGCGACTTGCTGAAATGTGTTGCCTGAAGACGCTAACTGTATTGGATCACGGGGGTTCGAAGTCTGCAGCGGCACAGCAAGCTCCCATGGCCACTGAAAACTGACGAAATTTTTATACGAATTTCTATGTATACAATATATGATATATATAAATTTCTATCATGCCCTCCGCACAGCCAGTGAAAGGTCGCTGTGGCGCAAATAAGCGATAGTTGTGTCACGGACAACGGATTCGGTCGCCCCTTGGCCATGCGATGAAATCACATACCAGGAAAGTTGTAAATTCTATGCGACAAACGTGTATGGCACGCTTGGTCCTGCAATCAGCCCGTGATCCCTCAGTGCACCGTCAGTGCCGGGCATCGTGGTGGGCAGTTAAGTCAACCTAAAGAAATCAGTGTTTTTCTCCGAAGCGGTGTTGATCAACGTGGTCACCGCACTTGCACACCCGCCGACTTGCACGTATCTTCAGGTACGTATCTTCGATACTTCAGGTACCTGAGTCTCGACTACCGCAAGCAACTTGTCCTTGAAGAGCTGGAGGGCTACAACGCCGACATCATATGCTTGCAAGAAATTGATGAGAAGGCGTTCAGGAGCTATTTCCAGCCGCATTTCGCGGACAGAGGTGCTGGCACATGCTGTGTATGCCATGGAGTGACGTGTGCTTTCCTGTGGAGGCGTCATTGTGGGGAACGCTGTCTCTGCCTCTTCAAAAAGTGTGTATTGGTGACGACGGTCACGAGCGCCGAGTTGTGGTGGCATGTGCAGTTCAGCACATGGCCCCCACGTGATATTTCGCAATGCATGGCGCAGTGGCGTCCTCAGGGTTGCCTGCAGGCAAGCTCACAGCGGGAAACACGGCGACCAACTTGCTGGCTGGTTGCAGGCGCTCCATGATTTGAATTGCGGGTGGCCGACCAAATGCAACGCACCGCACCACTGCTGTAGATTGCGGTTCTGGTGTGGCGCCGTGAGGGTTTGTACATTCTGGAAATCAGATGGAAAGTGCCCAAATTCCCATTCGCATTGAGCTGCAGCGACTGGTATTGGGCTTATTCAGCTCGCACCGACAGGAAATCGCGTTTCTGAAACCATTTGTTGGTGTTGCACAATGTGCGGAAATTGGACCACGTCATGAAACCTCGGCCCAATTGTTCGAGTCACTTTTGCCAGGGACTTGCAAGATTGGGCATTTTTTGAGCATTTGACAACTTCCCCAGCTTTCGCCTCCCAGGTTTCGAAGGGTATTACGCCAACAAGGTCACCGCCGTGAGGGAGGGATGCGCCACGTTCTTCAGGAGCAGTCGCTTCGAGGTCGGGATCACAACCCGTGCTTTGGCCGATGGCCCCTACGCCGTGCTTTGCGATATCATAAACTCTTGGTTGACACAAGAAATTCTTGTTTGTTCTTCCGAGCACAAAAGTGGAGTGCAAGGAAAATAACAAGTTGTGGGGGTATGCTCTCTCGGTCAAAGTTTGTGAGCATTCTTATTGTATGCTGCCCGAAACTGTCGTGGAGCGCCCTGGTGTCGGTGGAATGAACATTGCACCATTTGTCGACAAAAAAGCCTTGGATGCGCAGGTGCTGCGCCAAAAGGACGTATCCTTAAGAGACCAGTTTGCGGGCCCTTTGGCTCCCCACCTGCGCTGCTTTGAGCCCATGATGTCCTCTTCGTTGCAAAAGTGCTTCCAGAAAATCGGCACCATCGCGCAGATGTTGGTTTTGGCGCCCCGGGGAGGCTGCCGTGCTGAAGGTAAGGTTGCGCGTGCGGCTGGATGATTGAGCACGGCACGCGCATCCCTGCGAAGCAGAATGTCGCTGCTGTTTCGGCAACATGCTCAACTGATATCCGCGCAGCACGCCAACATCTGTGGCAATCTTGACTCCATGATTGACAGGAGACGTGCGAGGAAGCCGAAGTGCCTGTTTGAAGCATTGACAGGGGTTAGTCGATGTATCCACCAACAATCTTCTTTAATGAGCCGATAGGTCAATTTCTGATTGAATTTGCAACTTGGCAACGTTTGATCAGAACCTCAGAACGTCGCTCAATCAACACAACCAAATCCTATGTTGTTCGCCGGACCATTCCCACAAAATCGCAGTCCAGGTGCTGAAGCTTTCTGGCTGTAGGGTTGCAACCAAAGATGCTGGGTTTGGCTAGATGCCGTTGCCATTGAAGTCCGAGGACTAGGGCATGTGATGAATACAGCTACGGTACCCGCCTCCATGGGCTGCCATTTGTTTGCGGCTCTCCATGCCATTCTCCTCTGACATCTGGCCACTCGTCACAGGCATGTCGGAGCGCACATTCGTGGCTAACTTGTGCGTCGGTACTTCAATACCTCCGTGGTGCCTCAGAAGCTTCTGAAACAGAAATTTCTTGTTATTACTGGTGATCAATGTTTGGAAATTTTATTCAAGAGATAACAAACTCTTGCTGCCCAGAAGGATGCCTGTGCGTGGTCAACACGCACTTGTTCTTCCACCCCCGGGCGCCACACATCCGCAGCATGCAGGCGGCCTGCATCATGCACGAGGCCCACGCGCTGATGACGTCAGCTGCGAGCGGGAGCACGGCGCCTGAGCCCATTTCCGTGGTGTTTTGTGGCGACTTGAACAGCGCCATGCACAGCGGGCGGCCTGGTGAGCTCGCTCGAAGGAGTCTGGCAAGAATTTGGGCGCGTTGCAGAGTTGCATTCCCAAAGTTGTGTTTGATCATTGGCTGTCAGCAGTGTTTGCGCGTGCGAAATTGCTGGCGTTGTGTCGATTTAGGCCATGGGGTGCTAAAAATGCACGGGTCATGTCGGTTAGTGCTTCTGCGTGCCCTCAGTACTCATGCTATTCTGTGTGTCAACGCACGTGCGTGTATTTCACTACTGCTTCATTTGTTCATGCTGCTCAATGTATAATTACATCTTTTGGTAGTTGCGTCTTCCTGAAGCGACAAGCTGGTTTGAGAGTGCTACCTTCACCTGAGGCGGTACACAAGGCGTATATACGGTTTTGCGTGACTATGTTCACCAGTGACATAGCCAGAAGTCTGTTGGGATGCATGGGTTTGCAGAAAACGGCAACGCGCACCAAAAATTGTTGTCTAGGCATCCCCGAAATGCTGTGATCACATCACATAATGGCAGATCATGGCAGGTCTTGATTTGTCGCTGTTGCGATGCGCAAAGCCGAAGCACCATGCTGCCAAATCGGAATGTAGACCGCAAATCGTTGTTTGATGCCGTTACGAGCAGTGCGCATTGAAGAATTCGAGTCGTGCGTGCAGCTCAAGCGATGCGTGTGCAGAATCGCCTCGCTGCCAGTACATACTCACTGCCTAGTACAAATTTCTCGCGCGCATTGCCTCCGCCGTCATTTGTAGGACAGTCATTGCCACGTCCGGTGCGGCCGTGCGCCTTTGGAGGCACAATCTAATTGCATGGGTCCCATCTGACAGGATGCCGTGCGGGTCATTTCTCCCATGGAATATGAACTTGTCGTCTGGCTAGGGCTTTCTGAATTCACAAGCGAGGTGAAATGAGCTGTCATTCTCGAACAAACACCTTCGGCAGAGCTGTGCCGCTGCCGCCTTGAAGGCGCAGCTTGATGTATCGAAAGGGCTCCCGATGCGGCGGACGGGCGAAGCATGTCGGCTGGGCGGAAAGATACCGAATATCCGCTGCTGTGCTCCAGCCCTGTGAAATGCCAAATGATTGCATGCGCGATCCGCACCGCGGCAGCGCGCAATTCCGCTGGCAAAAATGACAATTTCCCAGAATGCCGTATTTAGATTGTGTTGAACAATTTCAATTAATTGCTTAATTTAAGTTGTATCGAAATTAGATAACCGGGGGAACGGGGATGCAAACCACGGTAAGGATGGACCAAATCGCCGGCTGTGATCGGAGCAGGTTTCGGAAAGGTGTCCTAGAACTTTCTATTGCAAAGTGGCCCATGCAGACGCAGCCCAGAGGGCCAATAGAACAGAAAAGGAAATCGGAAACGGACCGCTCTGAGTGTGAACAACGCAAACATTGCCTGATTGATTAAGTCCAGTGATTTGTCTCTTCCTCTGCTGTAATATTTGCTTTTCAATTTTTGTTATATTTTGCTTTATTTCATGAATGTGACCAACGCGCGTCTATGCAGGTGCTGTGGAGCTGCTGCAACAGGGTCGGCTGCGCGCCGACTACTGGGACTGGAAAGACGGGGCGCTTTTCAAGTGGGACAAGGTGACGGCACGGCGAGTTGCGTCTCCTTGCATTGGAGCCCAGAGTTCTCTCATTGAGGCTGGAAAGGGTCTTGCGCGGCTGTTCTTGAACATTCGCAAGCTCATGTGCATGCCAGCTGCCCACAGGGCAGGGTTGAAGAGACCCCGTTTTATATCGATAGCAGTTGCCATGCTTCTGTATCGGAGTATTTTGGCAGCTTCAGCGCGTCGGTCAGGATCCGGACGAATACGCCATGCCAACGCAGATGCCACGGGTGAACGGTCCTCGCTGTCTTCATTGGCGCTGGCACCTCTGTGCCACGGCTTTGTTTCATCCACTGCCCAACTGCCACTTTAATCGACGACGACAGCATCCAAAGCAAAGCTGCTGTTCGTGCTTGATGCTGTTTCAGTCATCACACCCTAGCACGGTGTTCTGTGCAATCTAGTCGGCGCGAGGCTGCTTGGCAATGACGGCGGCAATGTGCTGGCGTGGCTTCTGACATTGTTGTCGCATTTGGTGACCTCAGAGCGAAGAAGGTTGTCAGCTGGAGGGCTCCAAGCTGGAGGATGATATGGAGGTGGAGGATAATGGCTCAAACGAAATGACTGACGGCAAGGCGGTCTACGGGGTAGATGTGGCGATACCATTCAAATTGAGGAGCGCAGATGGTCGGTCCTAAGCAGCTCCCCGCCGCTCTGAATAATGCATGAGTTTACTTGGATTGGAACATCGTTTATAGGGGTTAAGTCGCCTGAAAACGCGGCTACCCAATTGCCAAGCTAACACCTTTGCAGAGATCTACACCGCCCACCCTCGCACCCCTATCCAATGTCCAGATGCAATGGCTCTCTCACTTTATCCGTGCGTTGAGCTAGTTTTTTTCCTTACCAGGATTGGCATGTTGCCGGCACTTTGCTCACAGTTGTTGTTTGGAGAATCGACGCACGGTACAAGGTGGGACCAGAGTTGGGGTGGTAATATGTCAAGGGTCTACAAAATATTGGTTCGGCATGCTATACGCCGCCGTTTTCGCATCGCCATTTCACCGACGACATAGAGGGTTCGTGGCGTGTCTTGAAGTTCAAACCTTGCTCGCTCAGGTCTGGAGACTCCCTTCACCAACTACGTCAGGCACTACTGCGCCCTGCTGGACTACATCTGGTACGACCCTCGACACCTGCGCGTGGAGCGAGGCGTGCCCATGCCAAGCGAGCGGGAACTGCGCAGCTTCCTGCCCTCCAGGCGCTTTCCTTCGGACCACCTGGCGGTGAGACCTAATTCGTCGAGCACAGGCCCATTCAGGGGCGGCATAGCAGTCGCTGATGCTTGATTGGCTACTTACTTGTTACAACATATGGCGAGTCTGTTTTTGCACGGTCTACAGTCAATCCGCGACTGGGTTTAGAAATCTGCAGCTTTCAACTGCAGACCGTCAGCGGATTTGTTCACACTGTACATGGCCTGAGGAGAGGGCAAAATGGACCTGTGCGCGGACAGATGAGCCGCTGCGTGCATGGGCACTGTTAAATCTGCTTGCTACATTTCACGGCGTCATGAGAGGGACTGGGCCTTTGCATTGAAAGATGTTCCACTGCGCGCACGATGACGGCTTGGGCACTTTCGCGCGCTCTGGCAACATTTCACGGTGGAATGCAACGGTCAGGTGGTCTTCGACCTTGCCTGGAGATCCGACCGCGAGCTGGTGGACGACCGCCACGACGTCGACCAAAGCCCACCCGCGTCAGCCACCACGAACGTCGTGCCTGCGGATCTGAACAATGTGGACCTGGCGGTTGAGGCGCTGAGGAGGTCCCGCGTGATCGGCGTTCCGACAGACACTATCTATGGTGCGCAGGAATCAAATAGTCTGCCTGTTCACTGGTTGTGCAGTTTTTTGGTCTGCAAGCCACAGAAGTACGTTGTAGCTGCATGCAGTGTCTCTGCCAGGTTGTGCTCTTGGCAAACATTGGTGTGTACAGCCTCATGATCAAACTCGCTGTTTCATTTCAAGCATAGAGTCAATGCGCAGACCGGCGTTGTTCATTTCGGAGGTACAGCTAATGTGCCAAGATTCTATTGCACCGCTTTCCTCCTCAGCTGCGATGGTTTGCCGATATCGGACAGCTGTAACCGACGTTTTGGACGCCTCAGGATTCGCCGCCGACGCAAGCAAGGGCGACGCCATCCAGAGGGTGTACCGCATCAAGCAGCGCAGCAGGAACGTGCCGCTGGCGGTGTGCCTGGCGGACGTGGATCAAATAGGCCAGTGCTGCCGCCTGGACCACCTGCCCCCCAGCCTCGTGGGCGACCTCCTTCCGGGCCCCCTGACGCTGGTGCTCCCGCGCCTGCCCGACGCCACCCTCAGTCCCCAGCTGAATCCGGAGCTTCCCAACCTGGCCGTCCGGGTGCCGGACCACGAGTTCATGCGGGAGGTCTGCAGGAGATTCGACGGCCCAGTGGCGCTGACAAGCGCCAACAGGAGCGGGGAGCCCAGCAGCAGGTCGGCCGAGGAGTTCAGGGACCTGTGGCCACTGTGCGAGGCTGTTTTTGATGGAGGCGTGTCGGGGGAATCTGGGGCCGGTTCCACCCTCCTGGATTTGTCGGCGCCCGGGCGCTTGAAGATTCTGAGGGAGGGCGCGGGCATGCGTGAGGCGCTACTGGTTTTGGAGAAGTACGGGCTGCGACCAGGACCTTGAGGCCCGCTGCATGGCGGCCCTTAAACGAATTCCTTCGAGGGTGCGGACCGCTTCGCCCATTTCTCGAGATCCCTCGCTGAACGGGGGCGATGCTGGTTTGCATGAGCACTGGACTTTGTCGGCAGACGGCCGATGCCGCCATTGTTTGCTTTGCGCCTGGGACGCACGCGGGCACCAATTCAAGTTCGTTGGATGTTCAAAGCAGCGGGTGTTGGCACTCCAACACACACGCAAAATGTAGTTGTGTGCATCTCGCACCACCCTCCGCCTGTGACATGCACCTGGCTTCCTGCAGCAATGCAGTCACAGAAACGATGCAACCAAAGTGGAATTGGAAGAAAGATTGGTTTGCAGATAGCTGCGTGATGGCTGGTTGCAATTCTGTGCTGCGGCGGTGAATTGCGAAGGCGGTTGCGGGGGGAATTTCCAATCTCCTCCCAAGATGTGAGGCCAAGATTTGAGCAGCCACATTGTAGAGACGGAACATATTAGGCCCAACCAATGACAGCCATGGCACACTCGCTTCAAAATGTGGTCGCCATCCGATCTGCACGCCTCGGCCACGGACCAGACAGCCCCGATATCCTGCCAACGCCCACAAGCAAGGCACGTCAGGCGCCTGCAAAACACCGGCCGTGCTGGTCAGCTCTGAAAATCGTGTTGTTACATCGTGGGCTGCGTGAATGACAATCGCGCAATTTTCTGCTTACTAGCTGGCGGGGTCAAGGCGTGGGGTTGGGAAAGCGCCTGTGTATGCTGTCGATCTCCTCCACGAGCGCAACTTCCAGGGGCGGTCTATCTGCCGCGTGCAGAAGACTCCGCAGCTGCTCCACGCTGGACGCCCCGACGATGGTGCTGGCCACGAGTGGGTGGTGGAACACAAACCTTGGAGCAGTGCAGCATTGTCTCAGCAGCCGCTGTGCCCGGAGAGTCGTTCCTATACTCCAGAATGGTCGCACAGAGATGGAATTCCCACATACTGGGCCGCTGAGCGGGTGAGAGCGGAAATGCGACAAACTGGGTTATACCCTCAGAAATCGGCGTTACCGATTTACGATTCTACTTCCCAAAGTTACCCAGTGCCCAATAATTGGCCATCGCACCTTGTGGTGTCGAATCAATATGCTAAACAATCTAGTGCATTTGTTGACTCAACACCACAAGGGGTGTGCACTGCATCCAGGTTCAGTTCTCCACAGAGAGACCGCGCACAAACTGAGAAATCTTTGCAACTAACTGTAGGTCTGATCTGGGATTGTTCTCAAGCGAATCCTGAGGACTGCATGCATAGTTGCGTTGTAGGGATAGTGTGATTGCACGGCGCCAACGCCGCCGAAGCGGTACTTATCTCAGCAGTTGGGTAATTCAGCAGTTCTCCCAACCTTTTGGCACGGAACAGTTCCGCATACTGCATTGCAACACGGATTCAATTGGAATGGGTGCAAGAGAAATCACTGCAGCCGGCACTCACAGACACATGAGCCCACACTTGTCCCATCGCCGCCATGGCAGCTCCACTTGTGCATCACACAATGAACACACAATGCTGTACTTCACGAAGTACAACACACAACGCAAAACGCACCTGGACTGGACACCACCGTACCAGGCCAGTCAGTCCCCAAACCCAGGAGCGTTTTGTGATCACCACCAACCATGTCTGATTTTGTACCACTCATCGCCATCGCCCACGCTACCCGCACACTAAATCCGCAGATTCCGCCGGGTCCTGACATACCATGCATACAATTGACATACCTGATGGCAAGCTCCAGTGCAGATATTCCCCAGGCGGCGGCCAAGCGGGTGTACTCACCGACAGCTTCCCTTACATTGGGCTTTGTGAGCCCATACCGTGACTCCGCCTCAGCATACCGGCCCCGGTACCGATTCAGACGCGCCATTGGGGGACCACCGTCTGGGGCTAGGTACTTTCCCTAAAGGCATCAAAGGACACGAACCGGCTTCTATTGGGCTCGAGTAATGGGCAACTGCCAAGCAGCATGCAGTCTCGCTGAAAGCGCATTGTGAAGTTCGCTGATACCTTAGCATTGGTGCCAAGAACCAGGAAATCCCGAACGCCAGGAGAACAGACAGCTTGACTTTTAACAATGCCATTATCACTACAATCAACGAGTCCCCATGATGCACGTCCCAAGGATTCACGCCTTCATCATCTTGGGGCCAGGCGCTGGCCAGCGCCTTACGCTCCAAAGTGACGTCCGGAACAGGAACCGAAGCAGCAACAACGCAACAGGGCCTTCCCTATGAATGCCCGCTTCAACTGCACGCTGCCTCAAGAAATTCCTGCATGCAGACGATTGTGGCGATCCACTACCATGGCGCTCTATGCCCGCTTGTTCCAGCCATTGTCAGATAGTAAGCGCAATTGGAGCAAACATATTTTGTGGACGGCGTCACCCACCGTCAGCAAACCCATGGCCAACGGGCTGTACGCCAGCAGGCTCACCCTCTCGCTGTGGCAGCACTCAGCAAGCCCAGAGTCGAATGTGCGGCAAAGAAGGCTGGTAGGGAACGAGAGGAGCAGCATGTCATTACCATGAGCAAGAGCATCGAGATAGGGCAACCGCGGCAGTGGCATTTTCCGGATGTGGAGGAAAACTGGGCTGCTCTTCAGCGACGGTGAACATGTGAATCGCGGTGCAAAATTGGCTGCACTGGGCCATTCTGCAGGTCCCACCTGTATGAGTTCTGGATTGACACTACTCTGGGGAGGCCAGGTACCTGCTCCGCTGCAGTAGCAGCAGTCAACACAACAGAGCATCGTTAGTCGGCCACAAATTGCATCCAGGCACTGACCAGGATGCGTGTATGTGTGGGAGCTTCACGCTGGGGGCCGCCTTTGCAGGCAGGGAGGCTGCGACTGGCTGGTCTGCGAACACTGTCTTTGGAAACCATGAAACACGGCCAGAGCTAGAACACTCCTGCAGGGAGCCCAGAGTGGACAATGGGCCTGACACCATCGCCATGAAGAAGGCAAGGCCCAGTGTGGTGGATAGAGGCTCCACGCGTTGTCCGCCTCCATCCGCATAGTTCCGTACCTTTACACGCCTGAGTTTACTTGACACACAACCTGCAGAAGGGGTGCAAGCATTCCAGATGCATGCGTGAAAAACAACTTGCGTGTGGCTGGCTCCAAGCGAAGTGCAACAGACACCGCGAAAGCAATGGCAAAATCTCCCTCACCCAATCGGCAAAATTGCATGAGGCCCCACGGGGTCTCATTACTGAGCCCAACATGCCGAACTTTGCCCTCTTTCATGGCCACGGCTAGCGCGCCCAGTTGTTCCTGAATTGGTACAGCCTGCAGAGAGGACCAAAAGTTCTGTTGGGCCACGCTCCCGTGCAATGCGCGTTTCCAACACGTGCGACTTCACGCGCGGCAGGTTCCACAATCTCACAGCGAAATTTTGGCATCTGATCATTTACTTGCGATGTGCTGCAGTACCTGAGTAAGCGACGACAAACAAAACATTGTGGGGCAACCAATGTGGGCAGAATCATGGCTGCAATCCCCTTGAGGGTACGAAGGCAGCGATTTAGCAAATATTGACAACTGCCATCGAAGGGCTGAGAAGGAGGAGAATCCAGTGCACTGCAGACGGGGAATCACACCAACCACAGTGCTAAAATTGGATGGTTCAAAATAGAATGTCAAAACTAGATCTACGCACATGGTACAAGAACATAGCAAACTCATAAAAGCACAGAAAAGATGCTGACCAATACATACAATCATATGTATGATAAATATGCTTGAAGTACATGTCAAGATTAGAACAAGAATAAGGTCCTAATGAAGCACAAATTAGAACAACAGTGCACGATTTCAGCAGTTTTAGCAGTTGCGAGCGTTCGTCCTGTAAGTCTTATCAACATGAAACAACTAATCTTCTGGACAATAACAACTTCAATACTTCAACACAGTTCAGTAACGTTGGGAAAGTGTGCCAAACTCAGCAGATTTTACCCGATGCATTCAGATCAAACTATTGGTGGTCCTGTCTGTCTGGTGGACTGTCAGAGGGATTCACCTTGAAACAGCGTGCAGGATCGAAGTCAACGTCTCCAAACATTGGAACATACCTGGCGGTAGAGGAAACAGAACACACTGAATCAGGTAAGGCAAAACACACCTGCCGCCGATGGGAATTATGGAACCATGTGGATACCAGATTTTGCCGATGGAATCAATCCATACATGAGCACAAGCAAGACACAGTAGCACAGCCCCACACTACAGAATGTGATTTTCTGTTCTGTCCATGCTCAAACAGCGGCAGTCCAGACTATGGAAACTGGGGCTGCGAGGTACCACTGTTGTTGGTGCCTTCTCCTGTGGAAATGCGGCAACCAGCACTGGTCAAAATACATATCGAAACACAAATAATGCACTCACCGATCAGGCCAGTGCAGCTGCATCAAGTCAATATAGTCTGTTCCAAGGCGCCTTAGGCTGCCCTCTACGGCCAACTTGATGTTTGCCGCATCCAATGCCACTGGGCCGCCCCTGATCCAACTCATCTGTCCAGAAGGTCCAGCAATCTTTGTGGCGATCGTGATCTCCTCCCTGTTCCAAAGAAGTCAAACCAGTGTAAAGGCCCAGCCATGAAGTGCAGCTCAATCGAGAAGAGCTCTTGTCAGCTGTCTATCTTGCAACAGGGAATGCACTTTGCGCAAGCAGCTCAGGTGAGAGCAGATTCTGTGAATGGATGTTGCCTGTGAGTTGGGACCATCGTCACCACCACTGCCTGCATTGCGATTCATATAAGATTTGTACACATTGTGTCCCGCTGATGTGCAGCACTGAATTTGGGGTTTGTGAGGACAGAGCAGATGTATTATGCAGACATGGAGCACCAAGGCAAAAAGCTGCATTATGCGAATCCCAGTTAATGGTGCACACATGCTCAGGTTAGAAAACAAGATCAGGCTAAAATGGGTGGCAAAACATACACTGCATTGCGCCATTCACCATTTCCCAAAGCATGGCTGCCCCTGAAATTCACTTCTCATCTTTGAAGGCTCCACTGCAAGCATAACTCAAAACAGCAACGTTTTTGGCGCCCATTTATGAGTGCTGCTGGCGGTCCCAATCATGTGGACGGCAGGGACAGAATAAAGTCGTCAACTCAATTTGTGCGTATATGCACTTGTGCGTATATGAACAACGCCCTGAAGGCCAGGTGGCTTCCTGGCCATGGCCACGGTAGAACAAGATGGTGTGACATGGACGATCCACTGCTGTTGCATTTGAATATATTGTAGCAAGGAACAGGGCAGGGTTGAACATGGGCACTACACTGAACGCAAGAACGAGCAACACATGTCAGCTAAACAATTCTGTCCATCGGTTCTTGTGCAAATGGTGCAAATTTGGTGCAGGCGATCACATGAAAGAATTAGGAGTTGCCTATTGCATCTTGGCCAATCGCCCCAACACCCTGAAGAAGAATGTCTTCAGGAGGATCTGACTGAGTGGATCGCACATGAACATTTCAAAACTCGGCATCAAAGCAACCAAATGCCTTCTCGTCATGTCGTGGGCCCATGCGCAGCTGTTTGCAGTTCTTGTTCAGAAAAAGGCCTTGTTTGAGGAGCTCTCCTCCCACATCACAGGGCCAAACTCACCTCCTCCGGGCCTTCATCCACCGCCCCACGAACTCCTCCGAGCGCCCGCTTGTCTCCGCCCTCTGAGGCACGGGGTACATCTCCGCAGTGTCGAAGAGCGACACGCCAGAGTCGAACGCCACGGACATTAGGTCACAGGCCTCCCCGAAAGACGTCATCTCCCCGAACAGCATGGTTCCTGTCGGAAAGCACAGAAGCGCGGAGAGAAAGTTAGATTCGGTGGCTTTCGCCGAGCTGCTGGAGCCCCGGAAGCTCATCACAAGTGCAGCAATTTGGGTCAGCGACGATGTCAATTCGATGGGCGCAAATCTTTGCAGCAGCTGCCGGCAGCGGTCAGACGCGAGGAAAGCGGCGCCCATCAGCCAGCTGCGAGGAATCGAAATTGAGCGCCTTGCAAGGCGTATTCCTGTGCCACGCGTCCACTTCGCCGTGCTCACCCAGTGCAAGCGACGAGACGGCAGGACCGTCGGCGCCCATCACGCAGGATCCCACTCTCGCAATGACAAGCCGCCTGGCTCCATGCCATCCCGACCCGCGTTGCGCCCGATCACGCGGGCCAGAGGCAACTTCGCCCGCCGACCGTGCGCCCGCGAGCGCCCGCTCCCAGGACATTCGACTGCGGACTTGCTCACCCCGCACCCGCCTGTGCGTTTCATTTCTGCGGGAATGTGCCCAAATGCTGAGCACAAAAAACTGCTCCAGAGACACGGAAACACAGCGGATGGAGCGCAGACCCACCTGCGCGCTCCCTGTGATGCCACTGCAGTCCAGTGAACTCAACGGGTGAAGACGCCGCAATTCTCGTTGGACAGCGTTCTCGCGGTGTAGCCCATCCCTCGCGGACATGACCCCGCCGTTCCGGAGGTCGCTGGGGTGCCTCACCGGCGCCCTGCGCCGCGCGGGCACTCCCGGAGCCCTCCAGCCCGGCGCGATCGCCCGGCCACTCGCCGCGACCGCCGACGACGAGACGAAGCGGAAGGATCCGGTGGACGCCGTCGCGACTCCCGATGCCGCCCCCGTGGCCGAGGCGGCGGGATCTGGCGGCAAGTCGGCGCCCAAGCGCATCAAGCGGCCGCTCTCGGCGTACTCCCTCTACGTCAAGCACGCCTACCCCGCGCTGAAGGAGGCCAAACCCGGCATCGAGCCCCACGACGCCACAAAAATGATCGGCAAGATGTGGAAGCGCCTGCCCGAGAAGGAAAGGGTGCAGTTCCAGAAGGAATCAAACAGATTGCGCGCAATGGCGGCGGCGGAAAGAGAGGCGACGACGCTGAAGACGGCGGACGGGACGGAGACGACGGAGACGGAGGAGACGACCCAGACGTCCGAGAAGGGCAAGGCGGAGGGACCCAAGAAGCCGATGAGCGCGTACATGGTGTACAGCGTGCAGCTGTACCCGTCGATGAGGGCGCGCTTCCCCGAGGACAAGCCGGTCGACCTGACCAGGAGGATCGGGGAGATGTGGAGACACATGGGCGAGACGGAGAAGAGGGTGCGGTTGCGGAAGGCCGAAAGGGCGATGCAGGCCTATGTGGAGGGACAGAGAGGGGAGGTGGGGAAGGATTGAGCGGAAGGTGGGTGGAGGCGCGATCGGTGGTGAGCCTGGAATTGGTGCTGCCTGTCCCTCGGTTGTGCCGGCTGCCCTCCAATGCAGGACTACAGAGTGGATCCACATCAACGAGTGCTTGGCAACTTCGGGCGCGTGGCAATGTGCACTTGTCGGCACGCGGGTTCCCTAGCCACCATCGGTGGATCGACGATTTGTCCAAGGCCTGTGAAGTTGAAGCTGTTGTGCAGACTGCGTTGACTTCAAATCGACGCATTGCAGTGTGCTTCTGCGGCGTTGGGCATTCCTCCATTGTCCTGTCGTGGTCAACCAACGCAGCACTTACACGCCGCCTCCTTTTAGGCTAGTTTCGGGCCAGCGACCTTGTGTTACAGCTGAGACCACCTGAGCTCGACACTGGTGGTTGAGCTTGACGGGAATTCGTTCTCCACATTGGCCCATTAAGTTCTGGAGCAGTCCTCGATGGAGAGATGTTCGCATCCCTTGAGATGCCGTGATGGTGAGTGGAGGCTTGTTTTGATTGCCAGAGCAGGGCATTGAGACATGCGAGGAAGTTCAACCTTTCAAAAAGGAGTCCCAGGAGCAGGACGTACTCCACCAGAACTGAACTTGGCCCGCAGTGAACATGGCCCACTCCTCATTGCACAGCTGTCTTCAGTTTGGGTCCATTGTGGGGCCTTGGCGCTGATCACTGCTAATCCAATACTGCCAATGAGCAAAGGCGCATTTGCGGTACCCGTGCTGTGGTTAGTGGACAACCCCTGGGGGAGGCACTGGCAGCCTCATCACAGCCATCTGCACAAGTGAGAATGTGGATGCCAAGTGAGCAACTGCACTGCTGCCAAAAATGTGGGCTGGAGGCAGGGAGGTGCTGTTCGTAGTTTGGCGTGCACTGGGAGACGGAGTTGCTGTAGTTTCAAACCTGCAATTGCATGTGGGAGAACATCTTGCAAGCGGTCAGAAGGGAGCAGCAATATAGACGACGAGCAGACCATTGTGAGGGAATTCGCAGGGACCTCAAGGCGCTCTGTATCCTGTCACTCCACCCAGGAGTCGAAGCCAGCACGTCGACAAAAAGAGTCCAGCAACCAAGTCGGCAAGCAACAGTCTCCTTACATGTTGTTGGAGCTGAATCCCAGGAACTGGAGAATTTGTGTTGATGGTTGAGCAAATGGCTCTTGGGACTTTGTGGCGATGGTACTGTGAGGACTGTCTGGGACAGTGCCATGCACATAGACCGCTTGCTTGTGTTGTTTTCTTCTGATCTCCAAGACAAGCAACCAGAATGTGATATGTGCGTAGTGCGAGAGCTAACCACTTGAGAGCAATATCTTGCAATCCTTTCAAACGGTGCTGCATCTGGCACAATTCGTTTTGAGAAGTGGGGAAGGAGACGAGTACTTTCTCAATCGAGCTTGACAGTAGAGTGTCCAGCCTATAAAAGTTGTATGGCATTTGTCCATGAAATGCAGGAATTTGGAAGGATGCTATTGCTGCAGTTGCCAAGTGTTCCCAGGCATGTCGAAAATATGGTACGGCGGAATTAGGAGGCCGTGATGAAATTTGGTAAACACGTTTTTACATGTGCACTCCAAGCCTTGCCCACACATGGCACTCTTGACCAGAGGCGCCTAAAGGGAAATAAGGGAAATAGATGTAATCAATTATATGTACCATTAATTCGTTCGGCCCCACCCAGTTCCCTGAATCATGCAAACCAAATTCCAGTCTGAATTTATTCTCTCCAATCCCAGATACCTTCAAGACCTACTTGTCGGACCCTCCGACGTCAGTCCCACATTAAAAACCCCAAGGTCTCAAAACCGGTGAAACAAACTGTGCAGTTGATGGTAGGTGGGAAAACAGTGACGCCACACCAGTGCACACACTCTAGCGGAGACCGCTCCCGTTCGTCGCGATAGTGACAAGGTGCTGCGTTGACCAACGCCACTCCACTTATGTGCAGGGCATTCTCATACTCTCGGAAGTCGTCCACACTTGACCAGTTTGCTGTAATGAGGTGCTCCTCACAAAGATGCCACACCCCAAAACGAGTCGGTCCTTTCGTCGCCTCCTCGGATAAAGGCAAGGACCCGTTCCCCCGTTTCCCACTGCAACCGAGCGCTGATTGGCCGCGTTGGGAACGTTCGCCAGCTGTGCCAAAATTTCCGGCTGCCCTCCCCGACCAATTCCACCAGGCCAGCCAGCCCCCCCGGAGAGCCCAAGCGCCCCCGCCTCCCCGCGCCCCCCGGTGCCCCGGTCGACCGCCGTGCCGCCTCGATGGCCCAGAAGCGCCCGCGGGAGGAGTCGCAGGCCGCCTGCTTCGAGGACTACGGCGACTTCTGGGACGACCAGCCGCCGTACGTGCACCCCGCCAAGCAGGCCAGGACGTACACGTGGGTGCGGAAGGGCTACGGTGCGTGCGCCCCACGGGGCCCCCTCCGCGCATCGTGGCGCCAGAAAAGCGGGCAGGGGATCCTGTCTGCGCTGCATGGGGGCGGATTACCCGTCCTTAGGAACAGGAGGGGAAAAATGGGAGCAGCCTGTGGACTCTGTGGGGGGTCCGCTGCTGGCTTGGGGCGCGTTGGCGAGAGGGGACGCGGCACAGGGCAGGCATGAGCTCATTGGGCGGGCGAGGGGGAGATGCGGCTCCATCTGGGAGGGGCGAGGAGGGGCCCGGAGTGCTTGCGCGAGATCCGGGCGGAGGCGCCCAGGGGTCTGCCAGTGGGCTCCAGGGCGCCGGTGGCTGAATCGTGAGCTCCGGGGGTGGGTTGGGGGAGTAGGGCGGGAGGTGGGGTGGGGAGCCTGTGTTGATGGCTGCCGACGTTGAGTTTTGGGTCCTGTGCCAATGGGCACCCGTCCGGAGCGGTCTGTCCTGAAGGGGGTCGGTGCGGCGTCCCCGCGCTCAGACGCGCTGAGCGCAGCGGCGCGGGAGCAGATGCCCACAGCTCTGTTGCTGGTGGTGGGGAGCCGCCTGTGGGGCCCGTCGTCCTGGTGCTGCGCGGGTAGAATGGGATGTCGAAGGCGCTGGTGTGCGTTTTTGCTCAGGCACGGAGGTCGATCGGCAGCTGTGCGCCAAGACGGCGGAGATCCAGCGGCTGAAGGAGCAGATACGGGAGCGGGAGGAAAGTCAGAAGCGGCGGGCCAGGGAGAAGGAAATGGAGGAACTGAAGGGGAGGATAAGGAGTGAGGAGGACAAGTTGAGGCGAAGGAAGGCAAGGCTTGTGTGGCGTGATACGAGGGCTGCTTTGTGACTTCGGCAAGAACAGTTTTGGGAACTGGAACAGTCCTTCAAGGAGGCAATGTTGGACGAGGCTGGGTGGTCAATTCAAAGTTCGCCTCCATTCCAGCCATTGATTGTGCCTCCAATTCCGTAGTGCGTTTGATTCTCTGCCCCACAAACTCGTGCAGCTGCGTTTCACTGTATGACGTCACAGGAGAGACCCCAGTCAGCTCACATCGGCTGCTATGAAGCAAGGTGTCAACGATGATCAGTACAGGGGTGCTTTCCTGGCAGGCGGTCCTCTCCAGAATGCATGAAAGGATCCTTTTGTTCACTATTGTTATTGCCACAAATATACAATTGCCCCATATACGATGGACTGTTTCACGAGCAGGGCTTGTAGATCACGTTCGTGTTGGGCAGTCTTGCTGTGAATGCCATTCTGGGCCGATGCTCTGCCCTGCTGGTCTGACAGTGGCCCTGTTTGTCTGGGACGGGTTCAAAACATTAACATGGCCATGATCCACTGCAGGCTGCCCTGGAACAAGCCCAGTTGAATGAACAACTTGAAGCTAAGAAGAAGCAGGTGAGCCTTGCCTCTTCCTTCAAGACTCTTCATTGTTCCTGAGCTATTAATGCTGTATGTTCAGCTTCTGTCGTTGCATCTTTTGCGTGGTGTGCTATTGGCGACCTGTATCGTCACAAGCGCCACAAGCTACCTGGGTAAGGCTGTGTTGAAAAGCACCACAGTGCCTTGCTGCCAGATCTCCTGTTGGCAATGTCGATTCTGATTCAATTCTGATCTTTGGCTGATTTACCCCACCATGCCATACTGTGCTGGTAATGGACCTGCCTTATGGCTTGTTACCCTGCTATGCCTGTTGCATCAGGGCAGTCTGCCATTGTGGGGTTGCCCAGGGATCCAACTTGAAAATGTAGCACAGGCACAGGCTCCTCAGATGTGCACTGATGACGATGATTCAGCACTCGCCAGTGCATCGCATGCAACTGTGGCTACCACACTTCTGCCCGCATTCTTGTGTCCACAAGTTTGAAGGTTGGGACTTCCTGTTTCTATGCATAATACAGTTCGAGTTTGAATCTCGCTGCCTGTGAGTTTCCTGAGGGCACTGTTGATGGCATGCCTGCAGGAAAGGAAGAGGAAGATACGAAACACGTTCGCACAGGCAAGTGAGGGCGCCTGGGCGTATATCAGCAACTGATGGGACAGAATTTGTGGAAAATCCCAAATCCATGTCTTTGGGCGAGCAGAATCCTGTTCTGCGGACATGAAAATTGTGCTGAGCCTTCCAGTTGTGGGAACTGGCATTGATCACCGGTCAACCAGCCATGTTGACCCTTTAGCATTTCAGCAGTCGGTGCTGACAAAACTTTATTGAGACATGCACAGTTGGGTTGTCGATTAGTTCTGCCAGCAGTTGAGAATGCCCCTTGGGATGTTCAACAGTGGCCCATAGAAACCTGTCAGGTTGTTGCTCGGGAGCTTTGAGTGAGCAACATTGGAAGGCTGTAACAGTACGTCAAGACCTCATCAGTTTTGATAACAAATGCAGGCGTGGCGAACATTCCAGAAACAGCGGCTAACATCAGATGTTCGTTCCAGGCGTTCAATGTGAAGGCGGATGCTGAACGTCCGCCCAAACAGCAGAGCACACCTGTCGCCAACGCTGCCGATGTGTCCAGGATGCTGGAGGCCAGGAGTGATTACGAGTGCTTGCAAGTGAGTTGATAGCGAGGTTTTGCAGAGGCTCAGCATCGCATTCCCTCGAGTTGGGGTGAGCCTTTGAGCAGGGAAAGGTCGAGGTCGGGCAGTGAGCAGGAGTCAGAGGGCACAGGGTGTTCTGTCGTGCGCTGTTGTCATCCGCAATAGTAGATGCGCGTCAAGATGAAAATGTACCAGAGCTCTTACAACAGACTAAGGCGTCGCCTTTCAGCCCATTAGGAATGTATTCCACCGCGAACGATGCGTGCGCAACTTTGTGTAGGCAAGGAGTGCTGCTGCCGTTGCCTGAGACAAATCGACCTTGGTGGCGTAAACCTCGACTGCGCTGCCACGCTGCATCACAATACCTTGCCCAGGCGTTCGATTACTCTGTATATATGGACATGATGTTGTACGTGGAGCAGCTGTTCAGCAACGCAGCGTTTTGAGTTCTGGTGATATTCTGTCACCATCTTTTGACGTGTGCGTTCACAAGCCTCACCCCCACTGCATTTTGGTGCATCTCCAGATTGTGCAGCCCGCCATGGATGCTCAGTTTGAATGTCCTCTTGTTGCAGGTGCAGGCAGGGGAGAGTGCAGCCTCCATCAAGAAGAAATACAAGGAGCTGGCAGTCCTTTTCCACCCCGACAAGTGCAAACTGCAAGGCGCCAAGGCGGCGTTCCAGCGGCTACACCTCGCCTACAACAATCTGAATAGGATCGCACGGTAGCGTAGGAGCAGAGCCAGTTCGGAGTAGAGTCGAGGCTCGCCTGTATTTCAGGTGCACCTGGTGTCTTTTAGTGTCGTTGTCGCTGACGCGATTGTCAATGCTTTCAAGGGAAATGGGGTAGCCTGGTGCCATGGTCTGGGATGCACCGATGGAATTCGTTCATTCCCAGGCTAAGTGCAGCATGCAGAACGGCGCGCTGGCGCTGTGGCCCGCATGTTAGTGGGAAGTTCAGCCATCTTGGATCCTTGGTTCCTGTGGAGAATCGGAGCCCCGCCCCCGGTCCAAATGGTTCGCTGCAATGCGCAGCTGTTGGAACATATCAGCCCCCACGCCGCACGCTGTAGACCCAAAGCTTAGGCGCCTAGTTTTCCCTGTTTGCATTGGCCCCTGCACGAATCTCAATGCCAAATAGCATTCTTTGCCGAATCGAACTCTCTTGAGTTGTGCCCATACAATAGCTCAGGCATGTGCTGGCCACCCACTGCTGTGGATCCTGGCGCATTCTGGCGTTTGGACTGGAACGAACGACCAGCGGAACCTGCAGTTGTCTGTGAGCAGGAGGCCGCATCACTGTGCTGCGCCACAAAAAGCAGCAGGGCCAAGGGAACGTGTGGCATGGATACGACATCGGGCCGCGTCCCCACGCCAAAAGGCAACAGACGCCATCGGCGATTCTTTCAAGCGTTGTGGTTTGTCCATTGACATGCTCCACAGCGCAGGCATCGTGAAAACGAACAACGCACGAACCTCCATCAGCCGCGAACGACCCCGCTGAATGATACAATAATTTACAAAAAGAATCCCCGCTCCCTAACAAGAAAGAAAAGAAGCAATCGATCCATCGGAGACAGCCAGCGGTGTTCCGGGAAGGCGTGCAGCAGGTTGGTCAGTGCGATGAACAAACATCGACCGTGGTCGTCAGTCCTCTCCGCACTAAGGGCGGGGTGCTGCCAGACCCTGTCAGCGCAGAGCCCATCATTCAGCAGCAGAAGAAGATTGAGACACCACTGCGCGTCAGCAAGGCCTGCGTGCCACAATGAAGGACAGAACTGCAGATGGCACAGGTCAGTTCTCGGACAAGAAGGAACGAGTCGTCGATGATCAAAACAAATTGACACCACCTGCCAGTCCTCTACGTCTCCGGAGAATGCATTCCCCAACACCAAAACAAACGCCGTCAAAACTACGGTTGCAGTATTGTGCACAGCGCGATTTGTGAAGACGTAACTGCGAGACAATGCCTGGGCAGCCTTGATGACCAAAGTCGCCTTGACATCAATTTCGGGGAGACCGTTGGTGTTCACGAATACACTTAATCGGCATATAATCGGTTGGTTGAGCGGACTGGGCAGACATGGGGACACTCCTCACATCTCACATCCACTTAGGGTGCAAGTGAAAGTGCTCGTCACTGGTCGAAAGCGCATGCAAAAGATTTCTGCAGACAGAGCTGCCGTGCCTGTTTCTTGCGATGCCTCCCTCGATGGGCAGGGGCCCTCCTTGTCTGAGCTTGGCATCGTTCATGTGTCGCTATGTAGCGGTCCAGCTCCTCTTCGTCGATATCGACGTCCCCTTCATTCAGATGTATGGAGTCCGCGTCGTCAGCGCCGTAGCGCCTCGGCGGAGGATTCTCGGAAACATTGGTGCTGTCAGGAAGGAGGCGGAAAATCAAGACCACACTTCGAATCAGCGCAGAAGCGCACACTCCATCAATCTCGTCACAATTATTGCCATGGGAACAACACCAACACGGCACCAGGCTAGGAGGCATCTCGAGGGCAAGGCCATGGCCATATGAAAGCCTAAGCCATCGGTTCTGCTGCAAGATCGCCTTTCCACCCACTATCAGTGGTTCATGACAGGCTTGTTTTTTACGTTTACGCTTTTACGTTTATGTTTTATGCGTAAAAGCGTAAATTTGCGAAAGGTCCTATTTTTACAGCTAGTTTTACGTCGTAACGGCTCCCAGGGACACCCAGGTTACACGCTGAAAGTCGCGTACAATGAACAGTCCTCTGCCATCTCCAGCACCCGCAACACAATGTCCACCTCGCCTTTGGCAAGAGCGGCGATGGCTTATATCAAAAGATCGTTTTTTGCCCCTTCCAGGACGTCTGGCTGCCACCTCCGGACGCCGTAAGCCTGTATGTAATGTCCTTATGTACACGGGGCTGCATTTACGTTGTATTTACGTGTTTTTACGCATTTTCACGTGTAAAAGCGTTAAAAACACTTTCACGCGTAAAAGCGTCAATAAGATCAGCTTTACGGCGTACAAACCAAGCCTGGTTCAGGACACTCTCCAACTAGACCCACAACTTACGCGCTGAGCGTACCTCTCCCAGGTACCCGCCTGCACAGAATGCACAATGCTGTCCAGGTTGTACAGCTCCTGCAACAGACTGTTGGGGTCAAATGGGAGCTCTAATTCCAGGTGCTGCCTGTCACAGCCAGAAACAAGACTAGTTAACTCGACATTGATTCTCTTGTACTGCCCATCGTCGGTTTGCAGTGTACAATCAAGCCATCCTAGGGCACCCCAGCGAATCTGCTCCTGTTGTGCCTGAGAAGTACTGTTGACATCTTTGAAAGCAGAAGCAAGGGCAACATGACTCCACAGTAAAGGTGTTGCTGATCATGAAAGTCGCAAAGTGCGAAGCATCAGCATTCTGTCAGCAGTGCAGAATGCAATTATTGGGCACTACAGGAGTTCCACAAGTCGTGAAGGCACATGGCAGCCCACCTGTGGTTCAGAAGGGATCCTACGATCCCTCCCAGAGTGGCCACCGCATCCTCGGCTCTTTCTGAACCTCTTCTGCCACCTCCAAAAGCCTCTCGGTAGAAGGCATCCTGTGCAGCTTTCGCTCTTGAAAGTAGCCTGCAAGATAGGAATATGTACATAAGGACAGATACTTGGCCATCCAACACAGTGACTGTAAAGCCAGAGTGTACTTCTCTGTCCCACGATCTTGCCATTTCCCAAAGCAGCAGTAAGCAACTTAAAGCTTCTTACATGACCGGGCAACCTTGTTTCCGATTCAGTTTTGTCACCTGCATTTGTCATCCACACTTTTTCGGCTTTCATTTTCTTGTCATTCTGAGGAGGACAAGCTGCAGGGAAGAGAACAACATTTCTAAAGTTATAGTTGCGGTGCCCATCTTAAAGTGGAGCAGCCATATGTGCACTGTGCAAGTCAACACAAACTACTGAAGCATGCTCCTGTCTACAAGCTTGGTAGAGATGGAGAATGGAGGAGCAACCTGCACGTTGTGCAATTTGGTTGATAGCACTTTCATGGGATAAAGGTGTTCCATGTCTGTATTCCCCATTCAACAGTCTTGTTTTGCTGATCACACACAATTAAAGACAGAACCTGCAGGACTTGAGACTGAGGACACAAATAGTTAAAAGTAGTGGCACAAACTATGCATGGTTCAGGTCAATGTCAGGCGCAGCCCCGACTGAAGAGCAACATGTGCTCACACACCAAGGACCTCAGAGTATCCCAAATTCAAACAAGCTTTCATCCCAGTAAGCAACACACATGCAACAAGGATGTCCTGTGTGAGAACCTTCTTAACATGGAGGATTCTCTTGTATGTTTATTGTCCCATCATCCAGTTCGTTCCACAGAGCAGTTGTTGCTTTCAGAAGTGCACACTGAAAACCCTCAGAGGGTACTTCAACAGATAGAAGCACAGCACTACCTTTGCGTCTCCGCCAGGAAGTACGCATGGTCTAGGCAGCCAAGATCTGGCTCTGCATCAAGAAAATCGACGCAATTCATCGCATGTCGTTGTGTATTGCCAATTCATCTGCCAAAGCATCCATTCGATTTGCACACTAACATGGCCCCACATGGATAAGCATCCACCGGCTGGGCACACAGTGTTTGTTGCAAGCTCTGTGCTCCAACCTGTTGAGCTGATCAGTTGCCACAGTAGCCTATGTATCACAAAGCACCCTCACCAAACTGCAGCAAACAGTACTTGACAGCTGTTGCATAAGAGTTTGCATCGTTCATACGAAGATGCACAGTCAGTGTCACCAACCACACACGTGCCTAAGTCAACCCCCAGCATGCCCAGTTCCGTTCCAAGCACTCATGCTTGGGAAATCTCCTCATCCCCAACAAGGCGAGACTGCCAATCTAGCAGCGACTCGATGGACTGGTCCAGGTTCGCTGAGCCTCTCATCCAAGAAGCGTGTTTCTTTTTGTGCCCATTTGAGCCCCAGGGCATGGTCATGACCAATTCACAAACAAGCCCTGATCAGGGGCCCCAGCCTTTCATCCAATTTTGGGTGCTTGAACGTCATGCATCTGGTAGGATGAATCCATTCATACCAGGGCCGCAGCAGTGGTGTTCTTTTCGTCACAGAGAATCTCCCAACAGAGCACCACTTGGCAGTCGCGAATCATGTCTGCAGTTCTTTTCAATCGTTTGCTTACACCTGTTAAAATTGACAAACAATACCCTTGCACCTAGGAAGCAACGGCGAGCACAATCACTTGCAAAACGTTGAATCAAACTTCAACGTGCTCAATACTTGTGCAATGCAGCCAGCGCACCTTCCTCTTCAGCTTTCGCCTCCTCTGGCACGACTGGCTACACAGCAACGAGCCACCACCAGAGCTCAGCGCGAGGAGCCATGCCCAGGAGCCCAGGCGGGGGCCGAGATGCGCAAATGAGGCAACAGTGTAGCGGGGGTGCACTGCCTACCTCGACCTCGCCGTTCGGCAGCACGATGGCGTGTATGGGCGCCGCGCACAGCGGGCAGAGGGGGTTCCTTCTTCCCGAGGCCCATTTCCTCAGACAGCCGACGCTGCGGACCGGGCAGACATCGTCAATCGCAACAGCCAAATGCACCAGGCCATCCGGCACCTCGCTCGATGACAATCTCAACCTCCCGTGCTCGACAAATGCCGATCGGAGCAAGGAGGTCGAACAGAGGGGCGCAACCTCGCGCCTGATCATCTTCATCGCGGGAGGGGGTGCACATTGCCTTAAACGTTCTCTTCACTGTGCGGACGGTTCCTCCTCTCACTGTGAAGGCGTCAGAGCAGTTTCGGTTGCGAGGCGCGTTCGACTCCAGCCTGACAGCAGGACGTCCTTGGACACAGTAGGGTGGGTACGATTTTCCGGTTCAATACGGGCCCTCTCAAGTCCCGGAAAGTCTTGGGAGCGTGGCTCTCAACAGCGGGCAATCAGGCACTCGCTCAGGCCGCTGGGGACACCGTGCTCCAAAAGGGGGGAGAGAGGAAGAGAACGGAACCGCTCGCACCAGAATTCATGTCGACAGCCTCCCACGCGGGCCGCGTCCCCCGGCGCGGCATCGCTGAGACAGATGACGCATGTCCCGCTCCGAACCGCTAGTTCGGCCCTTGAAACGCGCTCGCCGCCTGGGTTGCTGGCTGCCATGGACCGCGCTGGGGCGTGCTTGCTACAAGGGCGGGGTGGAGTTGGGGCCCTCTGGTACTTAACGTGCGGGAGGCACGTGGAGTTACGGGAATCATTCGGGACGCGAATCGGCGGAGACGGAATATGGAGCATCGTGGTCTGAGGTGGCTTGCGTTGCGCTGAAAAGGAGCGCCCTTTTTGCGTGTACAGCGAATGGGTGCGCTCCTTTTCAGCGTCCACACATGTGTGGGCAACTGGGAGGGCATCCGAATACCTAGCCCGACATACACGGTTAATCTCCGCACCCATGGCCTCGCGCACGGTGACCATCTGGTGGACGCCGCTCCGTTGGATGGATCCCACACGGCCAAGAGCAACGAGCGGAGTCAATTCGCCAACACATCGCTGCCCGGGATGGTCCGATCAGGACACCATGCTGCACGCCGAAAGGCCCAAGAACTGAAAATTTTGAATCTATTCTCCTGCAGCGACGCTTTCTGTGAGCTTGTGGGAGTTGGGGCCTGTTTGTGGCGCCGAAGCCATGTTGAAGCAACCCTGACATCGTGGACAGTTCGACAGGCAATCGGTCAATCGCATCATCGGTTGGTCGATCGCAATCCCTGTGTGGCACACACGTGATCACTCCGTGCGGTACAACACACAGTAGGATCCCATGCACGATGACGATAATTTCAAGAATCAACGAGGAACTGAGATTCACCAAAGGAGAAATCCCATTGAGGGCAAATGCATATCCAAACATCGCAAGGAAAAGGAAGCTCGGCATTTTTATGTGCCTATTCAACCCTCATATCTCGCTTGACGGGTACCTCTCCGGGAGAGGCTCTCCCAACCTGACATGCACCCTAACCAAATGCAATATGTAGTCCGTTTGGAACACTGTTTTCAGTATTTCCGCACAATCCCCATGACCGTCATACAAAATTTGCTCTTAACCCAAAACTTTGGGATCGAAGCACATTCCAAGAACTAAGCCCCTGTACCTAAAATCTCCAAGGGATTGGTGTATGACAGCAAAACAAGATGGATGGTGGTCACCGGGCACTTTAAAATAGGGAGGCTGCTGGCCAACAGGGAAGGCCAAACAAGGACACCCATCAGAAGGCAAGGCTCGCTTTGCTTTGAATATCTCGTAAAAGTCCCAGCAGATCCCTTGGCCCTAGTTCTACGGTAGCCAGTGGACAAAGGTTCAAACTGCGTAGGAGACTACCGGCCAGCAACAAGCCTGGATGCCTGTACTTCCCTGAATGCCATGCGCATGCCAAGCGCCCACCCGTGTGTTTCCAATCTAAAGAACATTAGCTAATCATGAATCGCATAAAAATCCAGAAATCTCCAAATTTGGGCAGCGCCTTCCCTCCCTTCTGCACTCTCTACCATTTTTCCTTTCTTATCTCTGTAGAAATCGATGCAGCTCTGTCGCCGATAAATAAAATGACCTGTTGCATCATATGATAATTTTCACACCAACCTTTTCAGGCATTGGCAATGGCATTTTGTGTGACTGCCCAGGTGGCGTGCTCCAGAACACCTAGCAGCAGTATCCCCATCTCGAGTACCGCAACAAGGGTAGAAACTTCACCTTTGATTTTCAACATGCGTGCAACAAGTTTTTGCCTCTCATGTTGTAGAAACAGTGACACTGAAGAGAAATAGCTATGTGTTCTATGCTTTTCAAGCCACTGTGTCGCATGGCAATGATTCGAAAATTCCGCAACTCCAATTTGATTCCTGCAGGTCAAGTTGAACACGTCGCAGGCCCCACAAAAATACAATCAACTAACTTCCCCCGGGCCGTGACCGTTAGGGAAATTACGGTTTGCGTGATGGTGGCCAGGGCTGCGGAAACTTCCGACCCCTGCCACGGGGACAAAGCGTTTAAGGTATCACCTGTTTGTGCCGATGATCTGTGCAGTTCAAGAACGGCGCATAAGATCAGAGGTGTTTTGGAATCACAGACAGATCGCTTCCAAGGCCCATAGAACGCGACGGCAGCAGTAAGATAGACCAGAGAATCTGTAAGAGGCCAACCGGGAAGCACTTGATTGTATTCCCGCGCCCCGCTGCGGGTAGCATTTCCTGCAAATTTATCTCGTTGGCGGGAACGCGGGAGGTGGGAGCGCAGAAAGGAGGGGCGAGCTACTGGCCTCGGGCCAAAAGCGTTTGGCTTGTGGACGGGGCAGCCGCAAGTTACGTGAAGTTCCGATTCACTGATTTACAAGCAGGAATCAGCAGAGACGGTGCAACGGGCTAATTGCGGGCTGGCTCGTGTTGGCTCCCGACCAGTTGCTGTTGCCAGTGCTTTTGTCCTGTGCATGGGCCATTAGTGATCGTTGACGAGGAATACGAGGCGTGAGCCTGGGGCATTGATGCGGGGCCAGAATACGGGGCCTGGACCATGAAGTGGAATGTTCCGACTGCTAAGTGTTTCATGCGCTGCCAGCATCATAGTGCGTCCAGCGCCGGCGTCGGGCCCTCTTCGATTCCAATATCGGAAACATCAATTCAACGAGACGACAGAAACAAGGTCGCCAAACCAAGCGTCCCTATCAGACTCTTCCCCCAATGCATTCAATGGTGATTCCACACAAACCCGAAATTGGTCGCTCATGCCAGAGACTGTACAGGTTCGCAGTGTGGGCAGCGGTTCCCGACGATACTTCGAACGCATGAAAATCGGTCGTCCATGTGCCTGTGAATGCTCCCAATCTCAACAAAATGTCACAGTTGTGTATTCTCCCCTATCTCCGTTATTGCCCTTGTCAATTGCACTGCCAACCCGCTTGCTGATGGTCGAAATTTCCATGCACCCTTCACTACTTTACAAGCTCGTCCACCGCGGATTCTATTTCAGGAACACCAAAATCGATTGCATCACGAGATGCACTGGCTCATCTTGCAACTCACGCACAACAAACCTCAAAATTCGCCCGGATTTTCCAACATATTCCGGCTCTCTTTGCACATACACCGTATAGTACAAACACAACTCGTATTATACAACACACAGCATCAAAACAGTGCGATACACGAACAGCCTGTGCTCCCCTCCTTTTCCGTCTCTGCATCGTATCCCGTCGTCAGCATCACAAACGGTACTGGCACCTTGTTGCAATGCGCAGCGTGCTTCAAAGCCCGTTCGCTGCTGTGCCAAGCGCCTTCGCAGCGGCTGCCGTGTGCTGCCCTAACCCCTGTTGCCCGACGGGGGCGACCTGGCGACCGGATCCCCCTTCTGCAGAACAGGGGGGCAGGGTTGTGAGAGAGGGCTCGTGTTCGGCGAGGTGTTCGTGGCCATCACCGCGGAAAGATGGGAGTGCGACGACGGCCGTCGTGCTGCGACTGAGAGGGTGAATCGACAAAGCCGGCACGTCGAGGCGACCAAAGGCGCAGCAGAGCGTTGTGGGGGAGAAACAGAAACAGCGGTGTGGCGGTACCAGACGCGGTCGCAGCGACGGCACCAGATCTCCCAGGCGTCTCCGCGAAACTCCTTCGGGTCTTCGTCGCAATCTGTTGATTATGAAATTCCATGGATTTGATCCTGAGCAACTGAGCTCTCCAACAAGCGGGAGCGCCTCCCGGCAGCCGAGCTCGACGTTAGGAAATGCCTGAGCGACTTCTCTGGCCATTGAGAACCGAGCCGTGCGTCTAGTCCTCCGCAACAAAATTATAACACAGCCCCGGATGCAAGGGCAGCAGCAGCGAAACACCTTCGCAGGCAGAATTGAAGCCACCAAACCCGCACCACGCAGGACGCGACAGTGCGGCGCAGGTGGGCGGATGGATACAAGCGCCCTTTGGGTAAAATCACGCATCGCGGGTTGCCCCGTCCTACCCTCGAGTCGCAGCGGAAGAAATGACCCATCGACTTGTCAAGCGACGCCCGGCGCTCCACCGGGGAGCTGCTGTAGATGGCATTGTAGACGTCGTCGGAGCACAGGCTCCTCCTCCGCTGCTGCGTGGTGCGAATCTCTTTTGGCTGGCTGTCTGCCCCGTCCATGTTGTTCACCTGGTTTTGCAATCCGGATTCCCGCAAACCCGCGCCGAAACGACGAATCCCAGCAACCCACGGGCCTGTCCGCACAGCGGCGCGAGAGGAGTATCTCCAGGTGCCTGAGAGGGTGCCGTGGGGCGCGGTGGAGATGGAAAGGGTGGTCAGCCTACCTCGAGGCGTTGGCGAACACCGAAACCGCCCCCAGCTGGCCAAGCGTGGAGAGTTTTATGGTTGCCGATTGAGTCAGAGAAGGAGTCAGGTGCCGCGTCAGTGTGACGTGCGACAAACGCGGAATCTTTCCCGCACGGCTGACGCCTTCCGAATCCGGCTGAGCCACAGTTCGGACAGCAGGTCGGGTGTGCTTGGCTGGTCAGTGTGCCAGCAGGAGATTCACTTCGAATTTGGTGATGGGGAGAGCCTTCTTTTTCGCCGGGGAGGAGGCAGCCAAGCGCGATGGGCAAGTTCGTCTTGAACGTGCGTCTCCCGCGCTGAAATTGGACCGCTGCACTGCCCAGCGAAAGCGAGCACAAAGACAGCGACCCGCGGATTCTAAACAGGGGCGAGGCGACCG